TTAATTTTGAGACAAGGCAATCCTTGTCCCCGTTGTATGGAGAGCCTCTGGTTGAGATTGATGATGTTAGGGACTTGTGGGAAACCAGCGAGGCAGGTTCAACAAACTCCGACAAATACTCTTGGAACTGACTGACTGACTTTGTGCATCCATGTCCGGCTTCTTCAGCTTTGATCATTTTTGTCTCGGGCTTTCGGGCTTTCGTCATCCTGGTCACCTCTCACATCCTGATGCTCCTGTGATTCACTACCCAAAGAATCACAGTCTGTACATACTATTGAAGAGCGAGGAGGTGGGGGGGAAACTGGAGAGTCGACAGACCTGTGCACAATAAACAAACTAGCAACGCAGTACCGTGTGTCTCTGTCCAAGAACCTGTGGGGTAACTATACAGGCTACACCGTGAATTAAGGTAAACCTACAAGAGAACTGCAGGTAAATAAAAAAAAGTTCTTGAGTTCTTGCTGAGCTTTCAGATAGATGCCGCATCTCGTGGCTGTGGATGTGGTAACAGCCACAGAGGCTACAGCTAATGTCAAGCTATTGCTATGTTAACAGCTAGCAATAACACTAATTGCAAAAATACACCATTGATCACATTTCAGTCTCAACACACCCTCCGATTTACAATCACAATAGAGGCCCAACTGAAAAGTATGACAAAATCCCACCAGCGAGATTGACCAAGGTCTGTTTTTGTTATAGTTTATGGTTATGCAAATATTGTTTCAGAGGGGGTGAGTTGAGGAAGTAACAACTTTCTTGCTATATGTCCGTTTAAATGCTGTAAAGGTAAACCACCGGGTTGCATGGTTAAACAGTGACCGGTGCATGATACGTTTGTAGAGAGTATACACAAAGGGACAGCATACACAAAGGGAATGCCTTTGTGTATGCTGTCCGACTGCTCCTTGCTCCCACAGGAGGGCGGGACTTTCACCCAGCAAGTCGATCATAACACCTGAAAAGTGAAAAGGGGAAAGTGTGTTTGTGTTAGGGTGGCTCCGAAAAAGCACATTTGACCCAACCTGGAAATCGTCTGGCTACAATTCAGTAGCTGTCACTTCTTTCAACATTAAAATGGCGTAGTGCAAAGGTTATTGGAGTGAAAGCCATAAGAATGCTTCAAATGTTATGATCTTCTAAACCCATTCATCAATAACAGATGGGTACAGCTGCTTTCTCAGAGGCAGATACACCTTTGTTAAGTCAGCTTTACTGAAAGTAAAAGATGTATATTGTTGCAGGTTGTGTTTTGATTATTATGCTCTATGAAGATATGACTTTTCCTGTATTAACTTCCACATACAAAGTAACCGCTCTGTGGGGAACTACAGCGTATATGTAAACAAATTGGGCAACATGAGACATTGTACTCATGTAAATTCCATCTTGCACCTTTTGTGCAAAAGCTTATGAACACAGGAGCAGGAATCATGGAATCGTCTGCTGATGATCAGGAGAAAGCGGTATGCATCTTTAGGCTTGAAGTTTGAACACACTGGATGCTGCACTTTGTCGGGTGAGGACTGGACGAATTCCTCTGGGGTCCAGACCTCAGCTTGCCCAATCAAACGTGTGTTGCTTTCCCAACACACCCAGTAGCAAGTACAATAACTCTGCAACGTGTGGGCCTGTATATCTGACTTGAGCGTGTTTTTTTTATTTTTATTACAGGATCAGTAAACACAATCCAGTCATACGGATTAAAAGGATAAGGACATACCCTCCACACATGTATAGCATTAGGACTCTCTGCAGTAGCTGGTTTTGTTGGCATCTGTTCATAAATATTGTTTTTTTTGCGTATGCATATGAAAACTAGTATCCCAACAATGTCCAGTCTCACATTAAATTTGTGCCACATAGTTCACGGTAAAATACTTTGTAGGCTGAGAAATGCTTTGGAACCAATATGTCTGAGAGATGGACAAGGACATCATTTTTAAACTGGGCTTAAAACTGACTTAGTCCATTACAGTATAATTTTACACACGCACACACTGCAGACTAAACTTTCTTAAAAGAAAGTAGAGGAGGGTGCTGACGTCAAGCTAATATAAATCTCAAGTCACACAGCGTCACAGTAGAGAAGAGACCCGGCTCTAATATCCAGGCCTGGAAGTCCCATCATCAATATCATCATCGGCCCCACCAGTCAGGGATGTGAGTATGTAGACTGGTCTTAAGACTGCCGTGTGTCCATATGCGTTTGCGTAGCAGTATATTATTTTTTAGAAATGTAGAGAGAACTTATTTTGTCATAAAATGAGCTTTTATGTTGAAAGCAAAAAACATTTATATTAGGGTTTTAAAAAAAAAAAATTATTAAGAAAACATAAACAAGGGTTTTTCGGTTCAGATTTTTAATCAAAACCCCTGACTACAAATTAAAATATTCCATCCATCTATCCATTTTCACACCGCTTATCCTGCACACATGGTTGCGGGGGGGCTGGAGTCTATCCCAGCCAACTTCGGGCGTGAGACGGGGTACATCCTGGATTGGTCACCAGCCAATCGCAGGGCTGAAACAGAGACATATAACCTCTCACATTCACACACCTACGGGCAATTTGGAGTCCCCAATCAACCTAATCCCCAGTGCATGTCTTTGGACTGTGGGAGGAAGCCGGAGAGAACCCACGCAGACACTGGGAGAACATGCAGACTCCACACAGATAGGCCACTGGGCGGAGTTGAACCCAGAACCCAGGCGACAGTGCTAACCACCACACCATCCATGTTAATTAATATTTAAGCCTACGCTTCACAATTTTTTAGCAATTTTTCAGCGAGTCACTATCCATCACCATTGTATTGTTCATTTTAGTCATCAAATTGCTCATAGCCTAGCTGGGGGTTAAACCACCGATCCTCTAATTCCACAGACCATGTGGTAATTTATTAGGTTAATCAGGTTGCTAATATTGACAAACCCAGCTCTTTAACGTTAGCTAGCTCAAGCTCAAGTAGTTTCAATGTAAGCTAGAAAACGCCATAGGCAGCCAAGTTAACGTTCAATACATTTTATTACCCTTTTTAAATAAACGGGAACATGATGTAAAATAATGAAACTCTGTTATTCCACTGTAACATACTGTATTGTAATATACAATAACATACAGTTAAAATAAATTACAGTTGCGCAACTGTAAAATAAGAGTACATTACAGGTCATTTAGCAGACGCTTTTATCCAAAGCGACTTACATTACACTTTAAACCCATGGCTTTTTTTCCACATTTTTTCCCGGGGAGCAATTAGGGGTTAGGTGTCTTGCTCAGGTACACTTCGACATGGAACAGGGGGCAGCCTGGAATCAAACCACCCACCTTGTGCTTCCCAGCACACCTTCTCTAACCAGAGAACCCAGAGTAGATTACCTCGGGTTCTGTATTTTAATGTGAAATTGTTTTGAGTGATCTAGTCTCTGACTACACCAGATCTGGGCATTGTACGATCGGCGGGCCACATCGAGTGCGGGTTGTTGCTGTCTGGCCCACGGGAGGTCATTAGGGAATAAGGAATAGGGTCGGCTCATTGCACGGGTTAAAAGTTACTCTGGTTTTCAACCCATACACAAAAATAAAAATAAGTCCATAGCTTTCCAAAAGTAGAGCCATTTTAAATGGTAAACTGCTTCAGGAGTAAAGCTGAATTCAGCCCCATATTTGTTTGAAAAATGTTCTGCTTTTGAAATGTTTTTTTTCTATCTGACAGCCAAGCAATGTGGAAGATATATTGGACTTCTTTTGAGAGAGGGCAAGCAGATCAAACATCGAGATGGATGCCAATCTAGAACGACTATCAGTCCAAGGATCTGACCATGATGCCTCTCTGTGGAGCAAATCTGGCAAGTTCAATTGTGAAGGGTGCCCAGGACCGGCCCAAAACACAGTTTACAGCTTGCATTTCCAGCTTGGCCCAGACACGCTACGGGATTCCCCAAACAGAGCTGTAGACGGGTCTGGAATGTAGCCATCCCCGCCAGATTGGAATCAGCCGCAAGAGTCGAGTCAAGTAAGAGATGGACTTACTCAATGAATCACCCCGTCTCTTTCGACATGAATAAATGTTAGAACAAGAGAACCTCTTTGATGTTGATTATTGAGTCCTTTGTTGTTTTGCATAAAGGACATAAGAGGTCACAGTGAGAATGGATCTAGCAAACCCTTGATTCCTTGTGGAATCAACGGGGGCAGCGTTAAAGCTAATTAGGTGGCGTTGATGTCTCTGTTCATTGGGAGACGCTCTGCCGGGTTACTTTAAGGAGGTGACTTCCATTTGTGGTGATGCCAGTAGAAAAGCTGGCACTACAAAAACCACCGACAACTTGGCAGGGGTTTTTTCCCCTTTTTGGAGAAACACAAAGCTAAAGGAAACGCAATGTTATAAAAGACACAAGTTGTGTAGACCTACGCCCAGATTGAGGCAGAAAGAGAAGCATTAGTGATAAGGTAATGAGAAAATGTTGAAGAGCTTAATATGTTTGCCTAAACTAACACATGCAGTGCATACAAGACAAAAGAAGATGGATGAAGACCATGCAGCAGCGACTCAAACAAATATGCTACAAGGTAGTCTCAATACAAGCACTGGTTCTTTAAACTGTTGAGCATTTACTTCAATTTATGCAGGACGCTAAGCCTCAACATTTATTGCAGCAGGTTATGATGTTATGCTACAAAGGCTCTCATACCTACCCAAAGGTTTTCATACCTAAACTTCATTGGTTGAATAAATAAAGTAAATCCAAAACTTTAGTACAGTATGTTTGACATGTTATGCCACAATTAGATGGAAAACGTGACACACCTGTATCTTGTGTTAGCTGTTGATCTGAGTTAAATTTTGTAGTCTTTTCTAGTCCTCCAACAACTTAAAGTTCTTCCACCCTACATGCCAACATTCACTCACACCAATTCATACTGTGATGGGAGGAGGTACCATACACATTGACCATAATTATCATGCCCATCAGTAACTAACACTCATACCTGCAGAGTAGTGCTGGGGTAAGTGTCTTTGCCAAGGACATGCGGATTAAGAGAGCTGAGAATCAAACCGCCTTTCCTCTGATTGAAGGACGATCGTGCTCTCTCCTGAGCCACATTCACCCTAAATGCCTTCTGTAACTGCAAGTATAGAGAAAAAATAGAATATTAACTTAAAATGTATCATCCATGACACACTTTGCATCTCATACATAAATAACATCAATAAAGAGCCTGCTGAGACCAGTCACATAGTCCAAACTGAATTATGAAGGAAACTACTGTGAGAATTAGGAATGGGGAATTAAGAACAGGGAATGGACTCAAAAAAGATATGCCTGCTGAGACTTAACGACTCACAGAAGCAGGAAATTACTTTATAAATTCACTATTTGCTCTCACAGGTTACCTGTAGCCACTTAGGTTAAAACACTTCCAAGAATGAAATCTACTTACTTATACGCCATATTTTTCTTTGAGAGTAGGAAATGCTGTTTTACTTTTCAAAAGCTTATTTTCAAGAAGTATTTGACGTTTTCTCTACCCAGATATCATTGGAATAATAAGCATTTCTTAAGATGGCACACACACACACACTCACTAGCGGACAGCTGGTTGTCAGTAGGGTCAGACTGCTCTCTTTGTGTAGGACTTCTGGTTGTTTCTGCTGAGACCTCAAGTGCTGAGGATCAGCTCAACCTTACGTCACTTTCGTTCCAACCTCCCAAATCCTTCCCAGTAATGGCCGCTATAGACACGTGGAGTCTACAGAGAGAAAGAAAGAGGGATACATATCGGTGCTGAAAGAATGGTGGGACGCAGCAGTTTGAAACAATGATCAACGGTGTGTGTGTGTTAGTGTAACACACAAAGTGAACACCCAAACACAAGAGCAACTGTGTATGAGCCCCAGCAGGATAAATGTGATGACACAAGGTAAATTAAACACCTTCAACATCTATTTGCATTTCAAACTTCAGCCTGACATACAATGGAAAGACACAGATTAGCTGATTCTACGCTCTGACCTCCACGTGGCCTCTTTTGATCTGATTACTATAGTTCACTTAGATGACAGATGTTTTAATGCCTGAAGAATCTTGACTTGAGTGTAAGAGGGCAGCAGTCGGTTACCGGGGTTGTCCAGTTCATAACTTTAAAGCAGGGCTACAGCACCTGCAGGTGGTTTAATATCTAATAATGGTGTTCATTGGCACATTAAGAGATGTAATCAAATAAACAGACAGAAAGAGATCATGCACGGTAAACATACAAACAAAGCCCATTTCCTTATTTAATGTTGTTGGGACTCTGCGCCCGCGTTTGGAACAAAGACAGTTGGGAGTTGGGCTTACAAGTTCATAGCCAAATTTGGGTGAAGATCACACCAAACCCTCACGAGACCTTAAATGACACTTAGGTAGGATTTTTGGGCCAAAATCAGCACCAAGGTGTCATTGGATCCCTTACGTCACTGAGACATAAAGATAAATATTACCGACATCTTGTAGCTCTATGTCATCCCATGTCATTTGATTCGCCTGAAAGGAGGTGCACATTTTGGTTGCCTTTGAGGAAAACCTATAACATTTGGTGGTTGAACAGACAGACAAAGAGTGAGACAAAGGCTCCCCTGTGTACCAACTTCATACCTACAAACACACAACCTATACCCCTTCAGATAGTGACTCACAACACAGCGATTCATCTGTTAAAGCTTTTGATTTTAACACACACAAACACACACACACACACTCATAATGTGTAAACATAGCCTCAATTATTCCCCACTGATGCTTTCTGTTATCTTCCCTGCAGCAAAGTCTGGATGGTGCATGACTCCTAACGTAAAATAACTCCCCTAGTCCCTGTAGAGCCAACCACACACACTGAGAGCCAAAAAAACTTCATTTGAAACATATACAGGCACTATGTATGTACCTTAAAATGAGCCTGTGAATAAATCATTTAAATTCATAAAGTAGCATGAATATAATAGTTGTTGTCATCTTTATTTTCATGGAGTACCCACCATCAACACGTCCAGATCATTGACGTTTCCAGCTGCACTTTTCGTTTACCAATCAGCAAAAATTTGCTTAAAAGTTTACAAACTAAGATGGTGAACACAGTGCATAGATGTGGACTTTTAATATTGATGGTACTGGTTGAACTACTTAAAAGAACTCAAGACTTCGCAGATAGCAGATGATGGACAAAATGACACCCCTTATCACACAACTCCTCGTCTCTCTGATCACTTCTACTCCTTCTGTCTGAATAAGTACAGGATCATAATTAGGGGCCAGTGCCAACACAATCACAATCACACACACTGGCATGCACTCATTCTGCTACATGCTATTCATTGCTTCGCTGCTGGCTGTTCCTGCTTTATCATGTTTTGGTTGTATGAGAGGCTGGAAGTTAGTGTATGATCTGAGGATATGTGTGTGTGTACTGTAGGTGCATATGTTTGGTAATATGTGTAAATATTTGATAATTCAAGCAACAAGATAACTCACAAACAGACACAAAAAATATATCCTCCAATAACACAGCCTTCAGTGAACCTTTTGTTTCACTTTAACTACAAACGTCTGCTCATGTTTCAATTTAGCATGCCCATAAACCACTTGTTTTCCAACTAGCCAAATATATTGCTAATTAAATAATAAAGGCAGAGAAAATCTATTTACTCAAGTTCTACAAACCTGAATGGATAATGTGATATGCATAACCGAGGAATGTGACGTGACATGATCTGCTAGAGAGATGATTGTTTTGTGGTGTTAGGGAGGCACAGGGTGGGCTGAACTTATATTGACAGAGTCTGAACTACCCAAACATATCAGTTGTGAAGTGAAGGCGTTAGCCGTGTCCTGACTTGAAGTTCAACACCTCCGTCCCTTCCCTCAGGCATTGAAATTCCACATTTTGTTTCTCGCAAGTACCGACAGGCAGAGAGAAGGAGATCAGCTGACAGCAGACCTCAAGTTCACTGAGGGACCAGACGCCCTCAGTTCAACTACACCATCAATGTAGAAACCTGTTTATTTAAGATATCTTATATCTACTGAGAGGTCACTTGTGGTCTCCTCAGCCGTCAGTGCCAATTGAATGCCTCCTTTACATGCATGCTGCATATAAATGATAGATGTACAATTAATGCACTGGGCAAAATCATGAAGGGGCAGCACAGAGACAGCTTCCCTAGTCACAAAAATGACACTATAATAATTTTAATGAAATTGACTGTTGGACAGACGCAGAAGAACATCATTCAGCAAGTGTGTTTGTGTGTATGTTTAAGTTCGAAATACAGACACATTAACACAAACACACAGTGTAGATGCGTGCACACAATACAGACAAATCATCTTAATATCTCCTCTTTATGATATCTGACTATAAGGGCAGAGTTCCCGCCTGCGGGCAAACACCTGGCCCTGTGACGGTAGAGTGAGGAGGGGAGACGAAATTGAACGGAGACAGACAGCAGGCTGGAATGTCAGCCTTAAGCAAGGCTCACTTGGGAAACAAATAATGACTGAGGGAGCGGATGGAAGAAGAAAACGGACAAAACGAAAGGAGCGATAAAGATCAACAAGAAGTGGGTGAAGAAGGAAAGGGAGCTTAAGGTGGAACAGACAAAGAATGGAGGTGAACCAAAGAGAGCTGTGTTTTAAATCTCAGGTCACACTGTTACCATGGCATCTTAACACACATACACACACACATTGGACCCAGATGTCCAACAGTTATGATGTCACAGGTCTAGAATGATGGAGACAGCTGCTCAGGAAACTCAAAGATCATGATATGTAGTCAAAGCTTGTGTTTATAAATACATACTTATGAGGTATATTTTTTAAAGTTGAGGCTACACACACGTTTACCCCTCCAACTGACTGATTCTAAGATGCATTGCAATGCAAGCATGAACAAACTGGAATCAATGCATTGACATGTGTGGTTTCATTTCAGCTCCATGACTCACTACTGCTTATGGCTGTCATTTAATGTCCACCACGCTTATTTTGTCCTCGGCTTTCTCTTTCACTGGGGGCAGGGCTTACGCATGCTCCTGATGTGCAAAGCAGAAGTGCATTAAACTTGCATCTTCTCTAATGGCCATCAGGGGACGAGTCCTGGTTGCAAAAAGAAGTCAGATTGTGTAGTCTATTAAAAAAGGTCCCGACATCTGTACCCTTAGTAAACATTGTAAACATGAGTTTATGGTCTCATTCTCTCATCATCTTTAATACAACATGATGTTTATTTACATTGAGAATCAAACCTTAAAGCAGGTTGGGCTTTATGGAAATATGCAGTATAGATACTAAAATGCTTTTCCTTGCCAGTGAGTGGCAATAGGTAGTTGTTTGCCTGTGAACACAAACTGAGAAACAGGTAACTTTTATGATAAAAAATGCAAAGGCAGAGATACCTGCAGACTTTTATCTGCTTGGGCTGGGCAGGATTGGCAAAAGGCGTTTTCATGTTTTTTTTGAGTATACACATTCACTCATTGACGCTGAAAAGGGCCGTTGGCTAACCTGAACATTTGTGAGCGAAATGGCCAGCGAGCGGTGAACAGCTGTTTGTGTGCCGCGTGTTCCGTTCTGTCTCCTCCTGTATTTTTCACCTACATTCCCCTGGGTCCTGAGGTCCTAAGGCTCTGGAACAGGGGTTCTTAACCTTTTTGACCTCGGGGCCCACCTTTTTAAGTGGCCCAAGGCCCGTTCAAATATTAACACTGTCTAGGATTAACAAATTGATATTGTTATAGGTTGGATTTGTATTCAATGACTAAATAAAATAATAGTTTAACAAGTAAAACCCTGATACAGGGTTTATGGTGAAGGATTTCTTGCATGTGCCACACGTCTGGCTACGAGGTAGCTGGCTTTCAAGTCAGATTTAGGGTTGTCAGTCAGTGAGATGACGGACTTCTTCTGCAGCCCATTTCTCTTTCTTTTAAAAAATTCCACCTGCTTTCCCACGAGCGTTGGATCTTTGGTTTCCATATGACGCTCTAATTTGGGCGCCCTCAACGTTTCGTTGGAGAGCATTAGTCCACACTCTACACACTGGGCTCTCGGCTCCGCCTTATTACCTCCGTTTACAAAGTTGTACTTAATGAAGTCAGGATTGTATTTACGGCAAAATTTTGACTTTTGGGGGAGTTTGGCACCACTTTCTGCTTCATGAGGGTGACATATCGGCATCTAAATATGGTCACTCCTGCTCACTGGTTGCAAAAACCAAGGTGGCGTTGTCCTACAACCACGATGGCGCCGTCAAAAGTAACAAACTTAACTATTTAAAACCACAGTCCACAAACCATCAGTTGTCGTGATGGCAACTAAGGAAAGAGGTGTTACTCAGCAGTCGGCTAGCTTGTAGCTCTTGCTAACTGTTTAACAATGTTGTATTATGTTAAATATCCTAAAATTATAAATATTGTATAAACATCAATGTTAAAGGGATCTTTTGCAAACAAAGTGTTGGCAGATGATATCACTAATCTCATTTCAGTTGTGAACCAAAAACCTCTAAATTAAAAATATAGTGTTTACTTAAGGGCTCAATGCTTCTCGCTCTTCTGTGTCTGCAGATCACATTATTCGCTCAGAGCTGCATTCTCTCTCCAAGCAGGATGTTTACAGTGTGTCTGCCTGCCATTGTCTATTGTCACATAGTGACTGTCTGTGGTGAAGCTTCCAAGAAATCAAGGAAATACCTCAGGCACATACATAAACACACACACACCATGAACAAGGGGTAAAAATAAAAATAAAAAACAAGGACTGAACAAGTAGAGTTTATAGAACTCAAATTCAGGGCATAACCAGGCCAGAATGTCACAATGTGTTCCCAAATATTCTGGATTTTATATCATGGTGAAACAAAAACAAAACAATAAACACTTGGAGCTAGTACTACGAAGCGAAATTGTACTTGGTCTTCCAACCACTCAAAGTGCTTTAGTAATACATGTCATTATTCATACAGTGATGACAGGGACTACAATACAAGGGTCTACCTGCCCATCAGGAATATCTAATCATTCCTCCAACATAGACACATCTACGGGAGCAACTTGGGTTCGATTGTCTTCCCCAGGACTTGTTACAACTTGTAACTGCGTCCCCAGTCATGACCATCGATTAATTTTTTGATTGATCGATTCATTTCCTGAAACAGATGGTAACTTCTCCCAATATTTAGCTGCTGTGAAAACAGCTCCTTCAAAAAACTGGATTCATTGCGTTTTGTAAGGTTCCTGGGAATTTGGGACGCCTCCTATTACAGTACCGGTTGTACTGTAGAAAAACAAAGAGCAATATCACAGTCACAGAACTGGCATCAACTTGATATTCGTTCCGGTATTGTTCCCGGTTACCTGTGAGCTTCCTGGGGTTACAAGGAGGCAGACACACAGGGATGCTGTACAGTATTGTCTTTCATTAATGTTGGCAACAGAAATCACACTTCTTTTCTCCGTCAGGACTCTCCAGCCGTGCTCTCTCTCTTGGGATTCCTGATCTCGAGACCCGCCACTACTTCGTTTTAAAGGGAGGGAAACAATAAACCCAATACAATGCAGCTGAGGCCAATTACACCTCCACCCAACACTGCCCCCCACCCCCCCTGCAGCTAACCCAAACCACACCCTGCCACCACAATATTTAAGTATGGTTTATCGTGACATACTTAGAGCCAGTACACAGGCAGTCGAAAACATATTCTACATGCATCAAATGTAGTAGTCCGTACCAATGAATGAAAATCCATGATTCTCCATACAAATGTAATACGATAAATCATTTTTAAAAGTCCACAATACTTTAATCCTACAATACTTTATTACCATTTGCATAGGGTTTTTTGCTAGTTTATTATTATTATTTTATCATAATGTTTCTCAATATAATCGTGTAAGTCAGCTCTAGAAGGGCAGTGTTACAAATAGCTAATGTTTAAACACAGATGTATTGCTCACAATGTAGCATGATCAGGAACATTTAACTTTCTACTCAGGAGAAGGACTTCTAAATGAAGCTCTAAATGAAGTGCTACCTCAGCAAAACACATCCACCATGTTTTAAAGATATTGGCATCAACCTGATTCTTCTGGTTCTTATTCTACAGAACAAAGTCAACATTCATTAGGCAATATTTTTCTTTTAATGACTAAGTCTGTAGTACTGAGGGTGTTACCTTAAACTAGAACTAAATCTAAATTTAGTTAGTCTTTTATTACTTTGAAAAACACAAAGTTGCTGTGTCAATATGTGCACATATTTAAGTATTTCTCATAGAGCTTACATAACTAATAGATGAATCCATTAGATGTTGGTTGAACAGAACATCACTATCCTCTGGCAATTCATAGACTAAATTAACTATATCAAAAGAAATGGTTGGCAGATGAATAATTGAACACTTCAGCATGTATAATATGAGTCTAATTGCTGTAGGCAAGCTTAAATAATGAGCATCTGAAGAGATGGATAATGATTTTGTACTTTTGTTGATCCTACAACAGATCAAGGTTAATTACTTAATATCTTCTTATCTGTCTGTCGGGTTGCTTGAATTTGCAAATTGGATTTGTCCCCACAGCACTGTGCTGCAGGGAGTACCCTCCTCCATCTGCTGTATTTTATTAAATCAGGGGGGGGTATGTCTTGAAAAAATGTCTTTACATAAATAAAATGATTATATCCAAGTAAATGTAATTGATAAATGGATTTATTCAGACATTTTCTCCTCAACAAAGACCCAGGGAGCTCTCGCCTGGAGTTCACATCATGGGCATTTGACAGAGCACCAGGCATCCAGCTGGACCCCCATCCCCCCTGTATGGCTGCTGATGCTGGGAGCAGCCTGCAGTCTCCAGGGTTTTCTCACTCGCTCAGTGTGCCAATGAATCACTGCTCCCCCTCCTCCTCATGTCCTCTCCTCCACATGGTCCTTTGTACACTCAAACTCCTATTATTTTGTTCTGGCTTATGCAGAAACAACTCATGTGTATACTTCAATAAACATTAATTAGACAAGCATAAGTATGAAATGATTGATATATGATGAAACAGCATTAAAAGACCTACGTGTTGGTACGTGTTATAGTAGGTTAATAATATGGGCTATTATTGAAGACAATACGTTCAATATAAAAGTCACCAATAATTAACACATTGAGACATCTAACAAGTTGTGTTGGGCTGTTATTGAGGCGACTGCTAAAAATGAGAAGCACACAAAGTTGCCAATAAACCGCTTCTAAACGACATAGTTTTATATTTGGTCCTAAAATCAGAAGCTTCCCATGCTAAGGTCCCATCCTCTCTCTTCCGCACGGTGCCTAGTGAAGGCTGAGCTCCTCCAGCAAAGCCTGCTAACGTTTAGGCAAACGGCTAACGAGCAGCAAACTACCGCACAATGACACACTTTCAAAGCAGCAGGCAGCTTACCTTGGTCCTTTTTATCCTTCTCCATGTTTGAAATAAATATATATTTCTCTCGTAACCGCTGACAATAGAGGCAGGGCGGGGGCGCCTGTTAAGACCCAGAAGTGACTGACAGCAGGGTTGGCCAATTGTAGGCTCTGTCACAGGAGGCGGGACTTGTGGGGTTCCTAACCATGTGGGACGTAAATGATAGATAGATAGATAGATACTCTATTGATCCCTCAAAAGGGAAATTTTGTTATCGCAGCAGCATGTACAGGGAAGAATAGAATAAAAAGATACAAATTCTATACACATTATATACAATATAATAAGATAAAAAATATTAAATTAACTAAACAAAAGAATAACCTTCAAAAAGAGACAATAATAATAATTTGTAAATGCGGTGCATAGCTTCAGATCCTCTGATGGTTTGTAACATGCTGTTTGCAACTTTGCATCATGCTGTCCATGTCCGGATTTCTAAAATTGTACCTTTTTTCTTTCCATGAAACGTGTATGAAACTTTTTTTTTTCTCAAAAGAGAGGGTGGGAAATGCCACGGTCAGATTAAACGTAAATCAGTGTAGACTGTTAGCAATTAAGTATGAAACATTGTTTCGGATTCATGTGAAAGTTAATTAAAGCACTCAGATGAGGTTTAAGGAAGGTCATTGGTTAAATAATAAATGGACTGTAAAACCAATAACACACTGATGACTGGAGCTACAATAGACAGTGACACCAGCCCATCAGTAACACAGCATAGTCACAGCTATGGGAGCAATGCTGGGGGTGAGAGTCCAAGTACACATCGACTTGCGGATTAGTGGAGCAGGGGACCTTGCTCTCCACTAAGCCACAGTCAACAAAAGGTCAGCAGAAAAGGAGCTTAAAAGCAATTAGAATCTTTCCTTCATCTCAAAGTGTTTAGGACCCTAAAAAACAAAATGCTCATAAATCTGATAAATGCAATTAAATAAAACTATGAATTGTAGAGTTTGTATGACTTGTACAACTGTGGAGACCCTTAGGAAAGAGACAGGGATAAAGCATTCAATATGAAGGGTAATGTGTTTGTTAAAGAATTAGAGAGTACGATGTGATGAAAGAGAAAGAAAAACCCGTTTTATGAAATACACAGTACATACAAATACTTTCAAAAACAACAACATGATACATCAGGGAGTTTAACTGCTCGCCCCAGTTTGTCCACAGGGATGGAGGCAATTAGGACGTGGAAGGCCTTAAAGCGTAGTTTATGCGACGCAGACACAAGACCCCCTTGCGTGTCTTTTCACACCTCCTTGCGTCGCTTTTCACACCTCCTTGCGTCCTTGCGTGTCCTTGCGTACATCCTTTACGGAGTCTCACATTTCCGTTTTCATAGTCCGATACCGCCATTATTAAAACGAAGAATGTTTACGAGAGAACGGATCAGATTTAATAGCTTTTGTCGGAAGAAATGCGTAAATACGACCGCTTATACAAGCCGTCATTGGCGGGTTGTAGAAGCAGGTTGGATTCACGGAGGGCACACTAAGGGCGCCGGCCTTAAACTAGGCTTCAGTCCTAACACCTCATCCCTGAGGCAAACTATGGCCAAGTGGCAGCAGAAAATCAACACAGTAAAGACAAACAGCAGCTTAAGACATGTCAGAAGCCAGATTATGAAGTTGAAGTAAACATATGCATATACTTTATTTGTCCACCATGCAGGGCCATTTTTTCCAAAAAGTTCATAATCACAATTGGAAGATGAAGAAAAGGAAAAAGAGAGTTTACATAACATTTAACACAAGTAGCCTATATTTCCACCATTTCCCATTTCCACCACATTTCCACCACAAAAAAGAAGGGTTAGAAAGCATGCGCAGGCTTCTTGCAGCTGGTTGCCGACATCACTACGGTCACAGAGAGGTGTCGTTTGTGTTTTAACAACGTCTCGCTGATCTGAATCTGTGAATATCTTGCCAACTTTACCGAACTGTAAAAGTTCTACGGACACTTGCACCCACTCACTCCACACCTCATAACAAACAGGGACGTCTGACGTACAGTGATCCGCTTTTTGCGGAGTCTAAATCGGTATTTCCGAATCCAAGATGAATCAAACTTATTGGGAGATAAAACACGTTCCGGGTGGTATTTATTCCGTAGCTCTCGCTATTAGTAACGATTTAAAAGTCCCGAAGAGAGTTCTCTAGTCTATTGAACCATTGAGGAAAGACTGCAGAATCATCGGCGGCTTTGCGCATGCGCGCGTTGATTGAGGAGACATACGTGACGTATGTCTCCTCTGTGCTCTGACTGGAGAGCCGTGAGGTTTCTGTGAGACTCGCTGAGGACAGAAACTGCAAAACAATACGTGCTTTCACGTCACACAAAAGTCTCCAACAAAACCAGATAAGGTCGCTTTTGACAAAAAGTCGTCAAGAGGGTTTGGAAAGACAATTTACCAAAAAATGAAGTCATCATTTTTTATCTCATAATTTTGACTTTCTTAAGTCATAATTTCGACTTGTGATATTCCATGTTCATAACCTGTATACATGAGCTCACTTTGTATGAACTATCTTTACAACGGTCACAATCCTAGTAACATATAAGTCAACGTCAATGATGGCAGAAGAGCTTCGGTTTCCAATACTGTTAGCTTCACGGTTACTAACGTCACAAAACTTAAGCAATTTTTTTAACTACAATGGACCATTATAAGGTTATGTATAATACTTCCCCTGCTACTGGTACACCTGTCTCCATCTTAAATTAATGCTTGACTCAATTTAATCTTTATTAGCCTGCAATAAATAACCAAATAATGCTGGGCCGCAAAGGATACATCAGACCCAGTGTCCTTTAAAGCCCTGACTGGAAGGCTGCATTCGTCGGCCAAATTTGAAGGAGGCGACGGAATGGGACAGCCGCTGCCACGCACTCAGTTGAGGAATCATAAGCGGCCTGTGGAGGATAGAGTTGCCGGCCTGGACTGCAGCTAAAGTAATAGAACGATTCCATCCAATCCATGGTTGGGTGATTTTGATGGGAATCTCAGGGTTTATTTTGTTCGCCCTTTATGGGTCCTCACAGTATTCATTTACTTGTGTGCTCAGCGTTAAACAGTCAATGTATATTTAGTTTAGTAAAAACATGTTTGAAATAGCTCTTTTGTAACCTTATACACACTCTCTGAACATTAAACAAAGTTGTATTACCTGGATTTCATTCATCACACTGTGTTCACCTAAAACAATTGCAAAAATAGGAGCATAGCAACATCTTTAAAGTGCAACATTTAAGACAGAAATAGCCTGACACATGTTTAGAAGAAGCCAATGGTTAAAATAGGAGTTGCACCAGTAAAATAAGTCATACTTCCACATTGTTTCAAAAAAAAAAAAGCCAATGACATCAAAAAAGACACGGTGAAAAAAATGTTTTGACGAAACTTCTTGTTAAATCTGGACTGCTCCAAAATATGTTCACAGAATTTAATAAAACTTAAGTGGAAAAGTAAAGTGATGTACGTATTTTACAAATATTTTTTGGGATGCGGTTGGGTGTCTTACAATGTCACTATATAGTTAAAGGAGGCCCTGACAGAAAAACTTTGATAACCACTGCGATAAACCATTGGGGCATGCTCACATATACAGAAACAATCTAGCCTAAGATGAGCTTTCCTCTTTCACCATTAGAACAACATATTGGAATGATCTTCATTCTCAATTGCATCAAAACCATAAGATGAAAATATATGTAACACTAAACCTATTGTCATTCTGATAATTTTTACTTCATGTAACTCAAACACTCCAACTCATAGTGACTCTGTAGTTTGGATAAAGCACTTTAATAGTGGATGGATATTATAAAGAGGACATGACAACAGTTAGTGTGTTATTTTCGGGAAAAAACAATATTTGACACAAACTCAAGATTTAATATGGTTCTTTTCAACCAAGTCTCACAGCAAGACGTGTAATAGCTACGTTGGACCAACGTGGTATTGTCACGCTTTTGGGGAGAAAGCGTGACAATACAACATTTTATGTGCAACGAGGTCACGTGACTATCAAGTTTCCCTCAGCTAAAAAAAGAAATTGGCGGACAGTCAGTCTATTATCTGCGAAAAAAAAATATTTTAAAAAGGCATCAGCATTTGTATGCATTTCGATCACATTTCTAGCAAGACGTATGCGTTATATTTTCATAATCTTGTATCAGAGAATGTAGAAGACCTTCCGTTTATTAGTTTCTAGTGACGTAGTAGCAAGGCAATGTAAATGAATAGGCCAAATAAAACGTAGTATTGTCACAATTTTGGGGAGAAAGAGTGACAATTGGTCCAACGTAGCTGTTATACGTTTTGCTGTGAGACTGGGTCATTCTCTTCCAAATCGCTTTACTCTATGAGACAATTTATTCAACACTAAACCCTTAAGGTTTCAAAATATAATCCTTTCTTCAATGCAATTAAATAGTCCTTACAGAGGTAAGCAGTAACCGGGCATTTCATTTGTTTATTTTCTGGTTGAAATGTATCAATCAAGTCAAACTACAGTGATGACAATGTTTTCATACATTTCTAATCGGAGGGCAGTGAACACACCTCAATCCTCATGCATGCTCAAATAGTTATACACCATGACAGACAAATATAGCCGATATATGTCCAGTATACGTTCCTTGATCATCTTGCAGTATGTTAGTTGAAAAGTTGATTGACGAACGGTCCAGAAATCATTACGTTTATGGATTTAAATATGAAGATTTCACAATTTGCAATAATGCATTCAAACAACATATGAGAAGTTCAATCTCAATCCAAGAAGGTATTACACAGCGAGAAGAATGAGTTTTAAATCAAGTAAGACCCTACTTGTTAGGCTGCAGGTCTGTGAAGCTTTGCAAACTCAGCATGGGTCTTTTTTCTGGTATCAGAATGATGACTTCTCTCACCTGTGTGTCATTATTTTATTTAAGATCCTTCCCAGAAGTCAAAAATAGCTTATAAAAATAATTGTATTTGTTTCTTTGATGTGAGGGCATGTGATTCAGGCAATCCTACATGTTTAACACATTTTCACTCCCTAAAACCATGACCCTGTACTGTATGTTTTCTGAAGGGCCCCTCTTAAACACTCCTCCTATCTGTTATTCACTGCCCGGTTGAGGCCGCTGTCTAGCCATGGTTCTCCTATCTGCTGATATATGAGATGCTTGTGTAAGATACGGGACTGCATATCACGATGAGCTTCCCAGTCTTTCTCAACATTTCGGATTGAGAAGTTGTTTCTCATCTCTGTCTTTGCCCTTGGCGTGCTTTATCAGTGAGTACAGTCCGATAAAGTAGTTTCTTTACTGTTTAATGGTAGAGATGTCAAAATGAACCGTTTTTACAATTTAATAGTCTCTGCATATGTCTAGTCTCTGAGAAAAAATTATAATGATGGAGAGATAGCGAGAGAGAGTACAGCTGCAAAGAGATGACAAATAAATTTAAGAATGAATACTTAAGAAATAAGCAGGTAACGTAAGATTAATCGAAATTCAGTGAGCAGAAGATGGTGCACATCAAACAGGGGGAAGCCCTGCACAATACTTTTTTGTAATCAGTATTTATTTTGCTTGGGTTTATGAAAGTGCCAAGATGGGCAGCGGAGGTTGCAGAAACCTTGTGGGAGGCGAGGAGGATCAACACCGGCCATGCAAACGCAGCTCCTCATCCTCTTCTGAAAGGTCGTTAGACATTCAGGCAACACATTGCATACAAAAAGCTCAAGAAGCGGCCTCAATGTCGTGAAAATGTTCCCGCACAGAGCGCCCCTCCTTGGTATCACAGGCAGATGACATTGCGTTGTACAAGTGGAGAGCAGGGCTATCATGGTGCTGCATATATAGATATTCAGTTGGGGTGGTTCTTTTATGCTTCCTCCTCATTCAGAGAATGGATGCTTGCTGAGATGCTTGTTTCCCCCGGTCTAAAAAAGGCGGGCCTTTTTCTTCATATCGTTCTTTTTCCAGAGTGCCAGGCGGTCAAACTGATCCAGGGTCATGCCAAAAACCTGCTGAAAGTCCGCAGGAGATAGGTGCCTCTGGAAAAGTCAAACAAAGCAGGACAAATTTACTTAAAGAAAGAAGCAGAACCTACTGTATATTTGAAGCAGGCTATCATTTAAAGAAACTGTCCCAAATGCTCTATAATTGATGGGTGTTGAGAGCTTCAGGTTGGATAAAGTTTGAGACTTGAAACCGCATTCGACAAAAAGGTCACCATTGGTACCATTTTCCCAAAAAGCTTTAACAGCTTTAAACTCAACTAAAACGTTGTGGTTGTATCATCCTAACAAAGGCACTACCATGTAGTCCACTGAAGGGTTAGGGTTAGCAGGACAAATTTACTTAAAGAAAGAAGCAGAACCTACTGTATATTTGAAGCAGGCTATCATTTAAAGAAACTGTCCCAAATGCTCTATAATTGATGGGTGTTGAGAGCTTCAGGTTGGATAAAGTTTGAGACTTGAAACCGCATTCGACAAAAAGGTCACCATTGGTACCATTTTCCCAAAAAGCTTTAACAGCTTTAAACTCAACTAAAACGTTGTGGTTGTATCATCCTAACAAATGCACTACCATGTAGTCCACTGAAGGGGGTGCCAGATTATTAAAAGGCTCACATTGGCTATTGTGAAGCTATTTTCTTTTGTGAAAACTTGATGAATTGACAGAAAAAATCTCCCGGAGTGTTTGCGGGTTGTAAAAAATAACACTACTATGTAATAAAATAACAGCTTTGCTGGATCCTGTGGCTATAAGTGTCTATTACAGCTCAGAAATGGGCACGAGGGGTTTACCTCTTCTGAGACGAGTGTCCTACTCAACCATAGTTCAACAGTACTGAATCTTTTACATTCTGTGCAGGTTTCTCCTCCAACCGAACACTCACAAAGCGCTTCGAAGTTTCCCAGTTTCTCAGTCCATCCGACTACATCTAGTTAGAAAATGTTGGTAGATTGTGGTGTGACCACCCTTTGTACGTGCCGGCGCTTGTGACCCTTAAGAATGCAACCAGCATAATTCCCAATTTAGTTTTTTTTCGGAACATAGAACTTTTATGACACCAGATAAAAGAATGCTTCGTAACTTAGTTGGTAGAGGATAGAAATGGTCATGTGTAAACGGATACAGAGAAAGCCTGCAGTTGGTGTTGCCCCCACTTTGCTACATAGTCAATGTGATAGCTTTTACAGATTTTGTGCTCTGTGATCACATAAACAGAATCCAGTAAATCATATGAGTTACATTGACAGAAAGAAATTATTTCAGTTAGAACTTCTGCTGCTATATGCTTGAGTATGCTCATTGATGTCCCATTGGAGACATTAAAATCATGTTTGTGTTAAACACAAAAGGAGGTGTTCTATTGCCTTCTGTAACACAACCCATTCTGGAAATCAGAAGTACATCCAAAGATCCTCGCCAAAACAGCTATGAACAAAAAATGTATGGTATTGATTTTGTCACAGAACAAAAGCATATGGCCTTTTATTGTAAAACTTTGGCTGCACCTGGCGCTGCAGGTGTGCACTTCTATGATGATTATAATAGTAAGTTAGAGGTGGGCTACTGCTCTGTGCTAGCCAATCACCTGATTTTCATACCAACCAATAGAGGAAGGAATGTGGAGTGATACCCTGAGGGAGAAACTCCTTCCTTTTATGTTGACAGGCTAATAAAATGAAAGTAAAATGAGGCAGAATAAAATCTTATTCAACACAAAGTGTTACATAATAAAGTTAGTATTACAAGAATTATTGGAGGCTAATTTTTAAATTCTGTCACTTCTATTGTTACATTTTTAAACAAGTTAAAGGGTAAATCTGTCACGCCGCAGTGAGACCTAGTTGGGGTTTTCTCGTCTCCGTGCCTTGTCTTGTCATTTCCTGTCTTATTTTGAAAGATTAACCTCTCTCCTGTTTCAGGTCACTTGCCCCTCATGTGTCACCAGTCGAATCGTCTCCCCTGATTCCTGATTGTGTCCACCTGTTTCCCATTACCCTCATGTGTCTTATAGTCTGCGTCTCCCTTTCCCTGTTGCTGGAGTGTACCGACCATGCTCCAACCTGGGCCCGTCGCCTAAGGCTCGGTGTTCCGCTGCCTGCCTGGTTTGGTCTTGCTTTTCCCCGTTCTAGAAAAATTTCTGTTTATGGATTCAGTTCCTCAAATCTGTTTGTACTTTTTTGTGTTTTCCTCCTAATGGAGCGATTTTGAGGTTTTGTGTTTCCTCCTAATGGAGCGATTTTGAGTTTTGTGATCTTTGAGCCAAATAAAGACTGCCTTTTTCTGTTCATTCTGCTCTTGAGTGCTCTCTTAAAACGTGGGCCTGACAAAATTAAGCTGATGAAATACACTGCAAACTCTAAAAGGACATGTAATTTGTTTTCTTTCTCTGATCCGGGTGTAGCCAGATAAAGAAACATGCCACAACAGTGTGTTGAGTTTAGCCTTTGGAGCATTCATTTGGGCTACAGTTTGTGTGAATGATCATCAGAAATTTTAATTTAATCATGACAGTTACCAACATTCTACATTAAGAATATCTTTGATCAGTGGCCTCTGTGGACTTTTGTCAGGCCCAGTTTTTTTCTCTGGAATGATTTCTTTGTTGATTTCTTAATAGATATGGCCCTATCTATTTAAAAAAAAAAATGCATAAATTAAATTTACCAAAAATCCCAACTGGCTTTAAAGTTTAACTGTCTGGCAACAACCAGACTGCATAATCAAGGGTTGGCCTTTTTTAAACCATTTTTTAGATAGAAGAGGAAACTGCACAGAGAAAGAAGATTAGAGATTAGAGCTCACCTCCAGTCTGGTGCGATCTGCTTCTCTGGGAAGCTTCACCTTCACTCTATGCGTCACTGCCAGCATTTCATAAGGGTAGATCTGGCACACATAGGAGTAAGCATTGTGGTAAAAATATTAGATTATTTTTAGTGCAATTGTATGGTCCAAACAAAGCTGCCGAGAATATTAACAATAGAGGGGAATCTTACCTTGTATTCTGCAATGAAGAAAAAGAGAAAGAGAAAATTATTCTGATGGAAAAACGATTTTATATTGGAATAGCAGACCCATTATTCAAACTACCACAGACTATAAATAATTGACAGCTTGAATCTACTTAGAAATAGTATGTTTCAAAGGCGTCAAAACCATTACAAATAGTTATCTTACGCTCGCACACAGAAACACGTAACAGTTATGAGGTTGCCATCCTTCCAACGCAGGGCCCCATGTACTAACGCTTTTGAGCCCACTTCAGGCGTATTTGTTTCGCAACGTGCGCGTAAAAGCATGGCGAGGTATGTACAAACAAGCCGCAGGGAGGTAAAAACGCAGACTGCCTGTCGTGGAAACTGAAAAAAGGGCATAGGGCAAGGAGAAGAGCTGAAAGGATTTTTGCCACAAGGATCACACTTTTTCAGTTGAGTGGACACAAGATCGTTACAGATTAAGCAACTATGCAATATTACAGTAACTGGAAGAAATTGAAGATGACATCGCATCTCCAACTCAGCGTTCACATTCCATTCGAGAAGTTGAACTCCTCGCTACATTACAATTATTGGCATCAGAATCATTTCAAACAATCATAGCATCAGCAGTGGGAATATCACGGTTACAGAGAGTAATGTTCAAGTACTTCACGCTTTGCTACAGAGCACTAGTCAATGCATACATTTCCACAAATGTCCAAATAACACATCAACTTTGTTGTCGCTGAATTTTTGTTTTTGCTCTTTTGACTTTAGCTGATCCATGATAGAAAAAGGGAAGGCGGTCCGTTCAAGTGCAAGTTTAAATGCTCGCAATGTGTGGTATAGTGGGTGAAGAAAAGCGCTAATTACCGGATGAACTGCAGGTTTTGTAAATACGCCGTAAATGCATCACAGCAATCGCTATCTGCACGTTTTCAAGTTTGCAAATGTATGTACATAAGGTGCTCAGTCTTTGCCTAAGAAACAGCCAGCACTGTACACACACACACACACACTCACACACACACACTGAGAGCCAAAAAAACTTAATTTGAAACATATACACACACACTTGTAAAAATGCGTGAATAATTGTGCAGCTGGAAAAATAACATCGCCTCTCTCTACGCTGTCCCCTCCAAGACTCCCTCACATATCATCAAGAATTGTCACATAGATTGTATGATTATAGATTTAGCTGAAGCGGAAACCTTCGGGCATGTGACATTTTGAAGTTGACATCAATATCAGTTCATTTGGGAGCTCAAGGTTCTGGAAGGAAAGACACATTCACATACAATGTTAGGTGACTGAGATTCCCTTTTTAAGACTATTTTGACACATGAAATTGCCAGGTTTGGATATTTCTTTGTACAAAAGACGGGTAACTATGTTAAAACAAATCCGGGTCTTGAAATCTGCGAATTTACGGCACTAAACTAAAGAAGTAACTTTGACTCCTACCTCCCCAATTACAACAACTAAGAGATTTGTGTTGTATGATTTGGAACAGAGAGAGCACAAACTGGTTGAATAAAATTGTAGAGGCTCAAAACCCTAAGGACTCACAGGTCCTTGTAGTGATTGCTATCCGCAACAACACACCATTCCAATGTATGAGATTATTGAATTGGCCAAGATAGGGCTACAAGCTTTTTTTACAAACTTAACACAGACATAATTCATTTCAAAACCAAAGTCCTGGAGTAGAGCCAACAGTATAAGCTTTTATTGTCTGCCATATCTGCAGAGTTTATATGTTGTATATTGTATATATTGTTTATATTTTAGGAATGATACCGGTGCTCCAATAAACATTAATAAAAGCAGGAAATAAACATTTTCTCTCACCTCTCATGCCTCCCCAGCTCTGGGAGTCTGGGTCCACTTCATCATCCCCCATCTCAGTAGCCTATAGAAACACAAACACATGTAAACATAGACCAGTTAGACCATCATGTAGATGCTCTTGCTTTCTCCATGGTTCCAAGAATATGGCTGTACTACAACACAATCAGGATTTATCTAAAAGCCTTTTGCTCATTGCTTTTGCTGTTAATGTGCTCCATTCTTTCAGGGAGATGGTCTAATTAACTAACTAATTGCTTTCACATGTATCCATGGTATCTTTTGTTTTCTATACCCCTCAAAAGAGTGTGGCCTTGTGTTGGCCAGTGCCATTTTGTGCTGGCCTGGTCTATGCTATAGATAAGGTAAGTAAAGGTAACTCTACTAATCCGCATATCAATGTGTCCATGGGCAAGACCCAACACTGCTTCCCAGCCGTGACTACAAAGTGTGAATGGTAGATACTAATGTGCAAGTGTCACTGTCTATGGTAGCTTCTTTCATCAGTGTATGAATGGATGCAAATGTGTAAATTATGGCAGGTAGTGGTGTTCAAAAGCAGAGAAAGAAAATGGAGAAACATTGACTAATGCTAATGATACTTTGAGGTTTCCTTAGTTGATTAGTAAAGGGTGGACAAGTAATGGGCAAGGTCGGAATGTGTGGTGTAAACATATACTGTAAAAATTGAGCCTTAATTGACTACTGTATCACTGCTGTTGAGTGATTGGATAAGAAACCGCATCACTCAGAGGTTTCCAAGAAAGCGATGTCAGATGCTCCAAGCACCTCGGTCAATGACAACACGTTCTCCATTGAAACAGCTGAAGGGTTTAAAGGGCCTCTAATCGGTAGGTTTGCTTGTTTTGATGACAGGCATACCCCATTTCATGTTTTGGCATGTGGCATTCATTGGGTTTAGTGTTTAGGTTTCCAACTTCCGGGGGCATACACAAACATATTTGTGCTCCTATTGGGCGGAACTGTCGCGCGTGGTGAATTTACCATACTTAATGAGTAACATGCCCGACACTGGTGATCAGCTATTGACTATAAAAAAGTGACCAGAAAACAATCTTTGGCTTTTTTTCTACAAAACACCAAAAAGTACTTGATTTTAAAAGTCACTTTAGTGGCTCGATCTCTGACTCAATCAAGACTATGTGTAGGCACAGTATTGAACTGATGAGTTTACATTGCAGGAACCATGGATTGTCTGCAACATCCATTAGTTAATTAGTTCACAGATTTAGCAGCTCACCTTATAGATGACATTCCTTCCATAGCCAGGTAAGGATGCAGACTTGTTGTAGGGGAAATCTGGCAAAATAAAAAATAATATTTATTTGAGCTACCCGTCAACATCAATTTTGTTTGATTCGTGCCACTTACACCAACTTTACATTACTAGCTACTCACTAGGCTGGGAGGTGTCAGTAGGCAGACTGCTGGTGGATTTGCTGGGGTCTAGGTCTTCTGGACACATCCGTCCATCAATCTCACTTTTCAAGATCATCCAACTGGTCCTCTACATAGAGAGAGTAGAGAGAGAGTGGGGAGGTGAAAAAAGTGATTCTGAGTTAGTGAATTAGTAAAAAGATGAACAGAATCTGTAAAGTTGAAGAAATTGAATTAAAAAAGTAATAAAATACAGACACACAGACAAACACACTCAGACCCACCTTGATATCCTCCCCATCCTGCCAGGACGTTCTAGAAGCTGTAAAACAGTCAGACGTTAATGTGCTGGACTATCTGCCTCTTAGCTCCTCTGTCCCGAAGTATTCCCTCTACAGCAAATCACCAGTTAACTACTAACATTTCTGTCAAAATTACACATTGTGAGATCATTTCAAGTCTGCACTGACATTTTGGGAGTGTGACCCATTGGTCACCAGAGCAACCTATCTTAACAACTACACCTGTTTTTCTTAAATAGAAGGATAGCATCCTAGAGGTGCTCTTCATTACATTTTCTACACTGGAAGAGCCACTAAGGGGCACTTTAGCCTTTAATCCACCAAAGAGACAATGCAGAGGGCACTTTGCTGTGGTTTATTCAAACATGGGGCACCAAGAGAACCAAAAAGTTGTAAAACATGCAGATTGGCTTATCGTTTAAACATCTGTAAATCATTTTCCTCTCATCCCTCCTGTTTTGTTTTGATGTTGGTCCAATCTTTCAGCAATACTAGCTAGCTATAAGTCAGCTGAACACGTAACACAGTATAACTTAACATTATAATTAAAGACTGTTTTCAGGCCACGGTAAACTTATTTTACTGCTTTGATTTGATTTTTAATATACATTTACATTACATTCACGCTTTTATCCAAAGCAACTTACAATAAGTGCATTTTACCCAAAAGGGTACAGACACAGAACTATATACTTCGAACTGACTCTTGTTTGCATGGACAAAATACAAATTTCATTTAGATTGTGTGTTATCCATACTATTGATCTACGTTAGGTTATGTGAATTAGCATTCCAAGAGCACAACTTAATTGGAAAGGAATAATCCTTTATTTTGCACAATATTCTGATGACCTAACATACTGCATGCTGAAGCATTAGCATATGGAATTAGTTAGGTAACTTTGTAGATTCACTTTTTTTTGGCAGACAGCCTTGTCAGTGACCTCATGTCTGCTCGTATGTATACAATCAAGATGCTGACAGCATGTTCATGCATCTGAAGGACTATGCCATATGCAACCGATTTACTTGTCTTATTCTATAAAGAGGAAATTTTCTTTGGGTGACAGAGCTAATTAAGGAATGTAGGACTACATTGAAAACCATAAATCATAAATCCCGACACACAAACAGCGGTCAGAGGAGAGAAAGGGATTTAAACAGTTATGACCACTACAGTAATGACACTATACAAAGTCAATCATGTACCTATTCTCTCAGTGGAAAAAACTGTCACAGCAACAAATGAGTTGGTGAGATGAGTGTAGACATGCATGAACAAAGTGAGCAAATGACTGTAACACCAGAGAGCCCCAATTCAAGCCCTAATTTAGGGCTCGAAATTAGCTGAAATGTCAAAATAAATAGTCATAGTCAACATTACCAACATTGCAATGTCACTCTTTGTTAACAAATCGACACTGAATCTCAAGAAGCCAAACTGAAGCTGAGGGTTAGAGTATAGCAACAACCCAAAAAGAAAGTCAGTTTATTTGTCACATAATGAAAGACATCTACTGTGACATTGCTGATTACAATGTGGTTAGAAACGCATCTAGCTTTCTGTTAATGTTTTGCTTTGTTTTGTTCAACAATAATTTTATAACAAATTGGTGCAGAAGTTTTACAGCAGCGTTATGCATATAGATGGATTCTACTAGATGAGTTAGGACTATAAAGGGATAAGCAGATGAATGCCACGCAGCATGCGACACATCGTGCAGAGACCACAGGTGGAAGTGTTAAGAGGAAGTAGACTGTACCATGCTGTTTGTAGATGGGGGGTTTTCTATAGATATTATCTTTGACCAGAGTCTCTGAAGATGTGAACAGCAGTGGAAAGAAAATGAAAGAAGCCACCATGAGAGAGAGAGCGAGAGAGAGAAAGAGAAAGAACGAAAGAGAGAATGGTGAAAAAGATGCATGAGTTATTGAAGGATGAGATATTTTATTATAAGAAGCAAAAAAGGAGCTCCAATATTGCTTGATTCCACAAAGGCATTGGTTTGAAATATTATGGCACATCAGAAACTTTTTATTCATGCATCATGTTAGAAATATATCCATATTTTGTTCTTCATTAAAAGGGATATTATTTGGTGGATAACAATCCTATGACACTCAAATAATATTATTAGAAAAACCCATGGCCCCACGGGATTAACCAGTCTACTTGTATTAGCTTTCTTAACATCTTATGCCTGGAGGACGGAATGTTTTTGCCAAAGGTCTGATCCATTTGACTGTCATTGGATCCAGGCAGCCCTCTGGCAGAGATTCTTAGTTCCAACTTTCACAAATAAAGCCACAGCAGAAACATGACTCAATAAATCAACCCATGTGGGTCATTTCCCTGGCTGGTTTCAGTGCCAGCCAGTATCTGGTACATTATCCATATAAAAACCAATGAGTATGAGAGGTATAAAAATTAAGTGTATAATCTGGCTGTTTTTTTAACTTAACCTGCTTCAAAAATGAGCTTCATTGTTTCGTATTACTGACAGTGTAATAGTCAGTAAGAGCAACACAATGGTTTTCCTCTTTGAGATAGAGTAAATTCTACACTTAATGATGCAATCCCATTGCTCTGGCACAAAAAATGGATTTGAAATGACTAAACATTGGAGACTATAAGAAAAAAGAGCCTTAAGGAAAGTGAAAGTCAACGCAAAAAACTCATCTAGTCAAACATATAAAAAAATGTCTTAACCTCCACAGGTTGAAGTTATAGCCTATCTGCAATAATTTTAAAAATGTTGTGTGGGTGTACACCCCAAATCCCTATTGGATGAGACAATGAGACTTTGAGCTCAGCCCCAGAAAGTCAGCAAAAAAGGGCTTTTCAGCTTGATGTTATTGTATGGGTTGGTTGTATGGGTTGGTTACCTAAAAAATAATGACAGTTCCTTTTCTATAATAGATACTAATGAAGAACTTAACAGTTTTTTAGTGTCACTAATGTCAGCATGGAGTACTTGACAGAAAGCATAAAGCTGTGGTAAAAATAGAAAAGGTGAAATAGCAAGCCAATCGCTGCGCTTACAGTATTTACCTACCTGGTACGTGGAAATGCCGGGGAGCAGCCACATATGTAGAGGAAGGGGATTTGCCATCAGAATAGGTGGATAAGCTGGGGGTACTCCGACCACTTTCACTACCTTGAGTTGGGAACAGCGTTTGGCAATGGAAAAAAAAAGGTTGTTGGGGGGGTGATTAGGCAGTGTTAATGTAATAATATTAATAACTTTTATTATGAAGCTTTGATTATCGCATGGATGCAGGTAACTAGATAACCCAGTCTTTCTATAGATTTACCTACAGTATATCGTGAAACAATGTCTCACCTTTTGATAAACAATCTCACCATCCTACTGATATTTGAAGTTATGAGAAACAAAAATCATCCTGTACACATTTTGAATGTGTCCACTTTAGCATAGATAAAGTCACACCACGTTGGCTTGACAACGAAGCAACAATTAACCTGGAAGGAATGGGTAATCCTGGAAACTCACTTTTAAGTTTATATTAGAAAATATCAACATTGAGATTGTTTTTATTATCATCACTATTGAGTGTAGGTGGAAGTTAATGTATAGGCCTTCTTACATTGTCATACAGTGCTTCAGTATAAATGTATAAATGCAAATAAATGTAACATACATTGACATTTTCCTGACTGCATGCATGTTGCTATTGTGTATCTATGATCACAACCAGGGGCCGATCCGATTGTGTTACATCACAGGCAGCATGCGTGATGGAGTCACTGACACCCTTAAGACCAAAAGTACTAAATACTCTACATCCAGTGTAAGAAAAAAGAGAGAGAGGGAGTGTTCAGGGAGCTAAAGGAACACACACCCTTCTCCCTCAGATAAGGAGGAACGTTCGGCCAAATTCTGGATGATCAACGACATACAGAGCAGTGCAGTTAGTGAAGGTCTGAGTGATCTTCTGCAAAAACACAATTAGACACACATGCCGATAAAAACACATGTACACACCAAAGTACTATTAGTGTAGGTATAAATGTAGAGCAGACCGTCCATACAACATCTGGCACTAAGGTAAGAGGAGATGGAGGCTTGGGAGTTAGGGGGGGACGAGTAATAATTTATAACAGATTGCACATTGGACAAAAGGTGGAGGGAATTAATTAATCATAGAACACAAAAGAATAGGACAACTTAAACAATGGTGTGAGGATTGTTAACACGAAATCAAGGAGGTAAAATATATACTATATATATATATTTTTTTAAATGCATTATTCGTTCCTAAACTCTTCTTCAAATTCCATCATTAGACAACACATCTAAATACAGTGTTGCCTAAGTCTTATTACCCCAGCAACGTCCATGTTCAAACCAGATAGCTCTTTAAAGCATGAGCATGTCGTCGATGAAAGACAATAGACGTCTTTCACAGAAACCGCCGTGGCCTGATCCACGCCAGCGGCAAAGTGTCTTGTATGCCAATGCAACTGGCAAACAGACCCCAAATTACTGCCCGGCCCGCTCTGGCTATTTCATTCCTCCACTCCTCTCTTTCATCTTCCCCATCGGAGAACTCCCCTCTAGGCCTCTCCACCCTGTCATGGAAAAAACACGAACTCTGGACCGCGTGTTCATGATTTTCTGTGTGTTTGAACTGAGCCTCCATGGTGCTTCCTTCTCTAGCCCTTCCTTTTAATCAGCAACAGCCCAAGCAAGCATGTCTTAGAAAAAGGGGTTCTGTACTAAAGCACATGCTTGTGGAGGCAACACTTCTCACCCTATGTAAGAATTTCTTGTTGCTGTTGGAAGTCTTTAAATAAGGGGTGTCACTGCAAAATTTGAATTGCAACACAAGAAACTCAACTTTCAATTAGTTCAAATCAATTAAAATACAAAATCTACAGTGTATGATCACCACAGGACTTGACAACTCTTGTTTAGCAGCAGCAGGGTGTGTGTGTAAAAGGATCAGTCAAACCCTTTGCTGTGAAATATGTGTAATGCTCTTCATGGTCTTCTTCAAGAGCAGTGGGATTTGTGATGAAGCTCAAACTATTCTAACTTACACAAAATGAAGAAAAGTCAGTATTCTGGAATGATTAATTTGATTGGCTGGTACAGATGGAAAATTAGTGTTTCAAGGTAAGGCTGCTTAGTTTTTCTAAAGACAGCCCTGTTCCAAATACTTGAAAAGAAAACAAGATCAAATAATAACCCTAGCCCTAGTTCTTAAGATCTCCTTCCAAATCAGTTTTTTATTTTCTCTTGTCTTATTTGAACCAGTGCTGTATTTATAATTATTTATTTTTCTTAAATGTAATTAATCTTTAATAACATTAAGTGATGATGACATTTGACTTGCATGGCAGACATACAAAACTTATTCCCATATTTTACAATTTGTGAGTGCTTCCATCAAGGCAGCAGTTTCTAAGGAATGCATTTGCTGATAATATTATTGCACAGGCTTCAGGTAAGATAAGAACATCACTCTTATTAGAAGTCAACTTGAAGAGCAGTCTTTCTCCTACATTTTATATTAGAGACAAGCACAAACATGTGCCTCCCTTCTAGTGTCATATGTGTCAAACTAAACCATGCACAACAACAACCACGTTCACAGACAAAAGTAGGGCAGGCAGAAAGAGAACTCTGAGTGTCTGAGCGGGCTAATGTACCAACACCACAATATCGGACAAGAACATCACAAAACCTGCTCACCATTCCACTGGGAGGGGAGACACAGATAATATAAAGACTAGGGGTGTTTTACCGTCAGGAGAAGGTAAACTGAGATGCAGGGATGTCCTAGATTTAGGGTCAGGTAGGGGGTCCTGTTTGAATGCTGAAGGGTGAGGAAGATCAGGGGATGGTGAGGAAAAATGGAGCAAAGGGAGGTTGTTGGAGAGGGGAATGTATACAGCACTGGTTTGTGATGTTGATTTCAGGGGAGTGTGGCATTGGGAATATAATTAGCATTAGCATTTCATGGCTTTGGTTCAAGAAATATGGAAAATTATTATGAGTGACCACACTGTGGATACAGATCCGAAGGCAGCGCAGCACAATGCTGGCGTTTTGTTTCCCATTATGACTCATGGGTCTATGTTGAACCGGTGGACAGAACACAGAGAGCGCTCAGGAGAGTTTTCAACACGTGGTTAATTTGGTGCTTAACCCCAACTCATGCCAATGAAAATCCCTTCAGTGGTTGTATCACAGCACTCCATTCTGTAGGACCTTTAGTCTCAGACAAATAAAGAGTGGACTGGCACTTGCTGCTGTGGGGAAAGATTTTTCACTTTTGATCTAAAATCCAGTGTATGTTTGTATTGTATTTGGGGAACACATGGAAACCCCGCTTTTAGGGCACATTGAACCCCTTTTCGAATAAGAGCTTTCTGGTAGATTGTGAACTAGCTGATATATTTTGTTTCTGTCTAAGGTTTGACAGAAATGATTCCAGCAAGTCGTCCATTCGCTGCATTGGACCAGGTCTCAGTCTCAGCGTGCTAAATACCTCTGAAGTAAGGGATATAGTTGTGCTGCTGCAGCATGGCCAGGGTGGTGGGGTTCAGGTGAAAAGACAAGCCTACACTGCCAGCTACTGGTGTGGGCGAGTACTTGACAAAACCTACACCATCACCATCACCCACACCACTCCCTTCCGCCCCAGAAGTACAGCAACCAGGAAGGGAAGATGGTTCCCTGGCACTGGTGGACGGGTACTTATTTTCACCCATCTGGGTTGGAGGCAAAGGAAGAGAACTGGAATCATGGGCATGGCTGCTGTGTCTACCACCAAGGTACAACTCTGGCCCTGAATGTCAAATCAGATCACAGGAAACATGTTGAGTCAATGGCTAAACGTGTGAAAGTGAAAGATTAAAGAAAGATTATAAAAATATATTTTTGAAGAAAATGAGGGCGACATCTGATTGGCTACAGATCTGCAACGTAAGACAAGTCTAAAAAAACCACACACAAATGTGAAGCGATCCGCAAATAAATGCAGTGCGATCCGCAACTATAACTCGTAATTTATTCATGTGTGCATTGAAATGTATTTGTAAATCCTTCTGTGTGCATTTTTGAATCAAATATATTTGTGACTTGCGCTGTGCGCATTTGTGAATCTTTCTGTGGGCATTTGCAATTATTGAGACTGATCTGACCCCAGATTTGTTACCCACAAATTCAGTTTAAATTTGAACAATTTGAGGGTGTAATGCAAGTAGCACCCAAAGTTGACTGAGATTTAAGATATGCATTGATTGTGGCATATGTCTCTTGCACGTACAAAACATTCACATACACCAATTGTCATATCCCAACATTTTAAGCTTTAAACTATGATTCTCTCAGTATGCCTCCAGCATGAGTTTTGGATCAAGTACGGCCTCCACGTTTGTTTTGTGAGGAATGTGAACATCACTAACAACTCTGGTGAAAGACTGACACGACAACATGTCAATGTTTACTTTCATTTTGCACGGGACACAATAGTGGTCTCCATGATGAAAGCATACAAATTCTAAAGAGCTAATTCGAGCATCAGTATCAGACAAGGAGGAGAGACAAAAACGATCGGTATCTGAAATCTGTAGTAAATCCAGGTTTAAATAATCTTGATAATTTAAGGAAGGATTCTCCTCTCAACAGCTCTTCTCCTTGTCATCCATTAGGAAGTATAAATCTAGGCGACAGAGCAATCCCTAAGTAGTTTTACGGAGAACATGGGTAATCAAAAAATAGAGTTATTCAAACTTGAAGGTTTCCACAAAACAGCTGTGTATCATGTGTGTTTTTAAAACAAATACCTGGCCGGCTATAATTCTGTGGGGAACGGCAGGGGGTGTAACGTCCACAGCCTCCCAAGGAGCTGTTAGAGCTGGGGCTGGAGGGCCTCCGCTGACGGGGTGACTTCTCTCCATCGCCCTGGACAGACAAAAAAAGTCAGTCCTTGTTGATTAGAAAAAAAACATACCTCACTCCTCCAATTACAGTATCAGACAGACATTTGAGCATGGCTCCATCTCCTACATATTCCTAATGAGATGGATCAAACATGTTGCACGATGCAAGTAGAAAATCAAAGAAGTTTCTGAAGTCAGAAAAGGTTTTTGGTATATATGCCAAAGTTCCCATGTTCTCCCCGTGTCTGCGTGGGATCTCTCCGGGTATTCCAGCTTCCCCCCACAGTCCAAAGACATGCTCTCGAGGTTAGGTTAGTTGGTGACTCTAAATTGCCCATAAGTGTGTGGATGAATCATTGTTTGTCTCTGTCAGCCCTGTGATTGACTAGGATTGACTCCAGCCCCCCTGGCACCCACTAAAGATAAGCGGTATAGAAGATTACTGACAGTGATGTACAGTCAGCAGTGGGCTTCGAAAACTATTTGTTAAAGTCTAATCTTTACTGAAAATTCTTTTCACGTGATATATTTGCCATATTCAAAAATAGCAAGTCTTAATGATAACAAGCTGATTCCAACCTGAACATCCCCTGCCTAATAGTGAATAGTTATTGAAAGGGCCCATTCGCCGAAACATTTACACACTTACCTCGAGTTCTATCTAACCATGCTCACATTTTTATTTGTCTGAGCTTTAATATCTCTCTCTGCGATTTTCACTTTTAAAGGAAGGTAAATGTTATTTACATAACTGCGACAGATGTTTTATAGCTGGCTGGTTGTAGACACAGTAACATGACACTAGATCAATGTACCGGCCCCTTGGTTCTCCAACCAGAACAATTAGAATTACTAAACAATCCTGAAATGTGTGCTATAATTGAGCAGCTTAATTAAAACTGTTTTAAACAAACTTTAAGAGCTCTGCTTTCACCTGAGAAAGCCCTTAATACAAACATGTAACAGACACACACACAGAAAGGCACATTACAATGATGACGGTTGTGTGAAGGTTCACGGTGAGGAACAGTGCATATTACCTCAGTAGGGGTAGGAGAAAGCAGCTGGGGGGACTGCAAATGAAGAGGGGGGAGAGAAGTCAATGATAACAGCAAACTCATATGCAAGGTAATATGAGTTCACAATCAACACCAGACATCAATCAATCAATGTCAGTGAGCCATGAGGACTTGGTATGACTTGGTATGATGAATGAAAGCTATGGGACTGGCTGCACTTTAAAGGGCTGTTTGTCAGAGAGGAGCAAGCATGGTCTTAATGAATGATTGTCCGTGGTACAAACACATAACGAGAGTACAATTTAGACAGAGTTCATTTCTGCCACTGGATTAGAGAGGTTTGATGTTCAAAGAAGAGAAACACTGTGAGCTGGAGTACCTCTCCGTAGTGCCTCTCCTCAGACGGGTAGCTGACATATGGAGAGTAGGACAGCATGTCGGGCCTGTCTATGTTATAGATGGCCTTGGTCTTTGGCAAGGCTGCCAGGTCCTTGTAGTCCAGCATCTCCTCTCCCAATTTGGCCTGACAGCAGAGACAAGAACGCTTTCATCATGTATCCATGATCTCCTGGGAATACTATGTTTTATCAAGCAAAGATGTACAAAACCTAACCCTGCCTGAAAACGCAGAACTATGTGCTGCCCCTGGTGGCGAGTAGAGGTAGTGCAACCTTACATAGATAACTCTGCTGGGAGAGCCTGAGGCGCTGGATGCTGGGACTGAAGTTATGCTCTCAGAAGAAGTCCTGGTTACCTGAAACACACACATATACTAAGTTATTTTCAAATAATTTGGATGTATTCATTGATGTATTTATATAAATATTGATGATATTTAGGGTCATGCTTTGTGTGAAACATGGTTCTTTTCGTAGGCAACAACACTAAACGGTCTTTACATTACAGGTCATTTGGCAGAAGCTTTTAGCCAAAGCGACTTACATTACACTTTAAACCCATGGCTTTTTTCACATTTTTGCCCAGGGAGCAATTAGGGGTTAGGTGTCTTGCTCAGGGACACTTCGACATGGGGCAGCCTGGGGGCAGCCTGGAATTGAACCAACAACCTTGTGCTTCACAGCACACCTTCTCTAACCCCTGCACCACGACGACCCCTGCTGCATGTGCAGTAGTTCATTTGTTGGATATTGTTTTCCAAACAAATTGATCTAATTTTATTTCAAGAAGTTCTTATTTAACGAGATTTAGTTTTGCTTAAATGTATTGCAACAACTAACATTTCAAAAACAAAAGTTACTTGATTCATAATGATAAATACAGAAACTTGTGTGTTACTTAAATTGTACCCAAAACATTAACTATTGACATTGCCGTTTTATTTTGATTGTTCGTTGTTTTTTGTTCACCAAAGAGCAAACTTTCTTTACATTATATGCAAACTCATACGTTTCATGTAATCATAAGTATCACACTAATCAGCACCAATCACACATATTGTTAAAGCACATTAGCTGAAGGAGGAGTGGACTTTCCCGTTCAGAACAAATTACATATTGGTAGTTTTTATTGTCTTGCATGATGATCAGTTAAGTGTTTGTCAAGTTGTGTGATACAGGTCAAACATTACACACCTCCAACATGGTATTTATGCAGGCTGACACTTCTCACTCCCCTCTATCTCCTCATTAAATCCTTGGACATGCAGAAACTGAGAAGTAGAATTTTGCTGCTTCATCAGTCACATGGTGCTCAGAGGTCTTTACAGCTGGTGCTCAACTTGAAGCAACAATAGTAGTATTGTGTCAAAAAGTAATGAACAACCCATGCAGCAGATGCTTGCAGGTTGAGTGGGATTCGGGTGGGTGCAGGGGGTATTACAAGCACCTACCTGCTGCTCAGGGATGTCATTGAGCTGTATCCGGACCTGCTTCTGGGAAGGACAGGGGTTAAGATGAGGAATGAGGATGGGACCTGTGTCTGCTGATATGATGTTAAGACAATGGTAGTTGTCCTAAACTGAACCCCTTCCCTTCTTCATTGTGATTGGTCACATCCTCCCTGTACGTATTTGTCTTGAGGCTGACTGGTTGAACTTGTCATTGTTACTAGTACCAACCAAGTGTGTTGTTACATATACTATAATACTTAAATTTACAACTGCTTGCAATACTGGTCTAATACTATTTATTATTTAGCCCGCCAGACTATTTTTACACATTAATGGGCGACTGTGGGTGAGTGGGGGAGCACGGTTGTCCTCCAAACAGAGGGTTGTCAGTTCGATCCCAGGCACGGCTAACCCGCATGTCGATGTGTCCTTGGGCAAGACACTTAACCCAACATTGCTCCTGTAGCTGCAACTACAGTGTGTGGATGTTAGTTACTGATGGGCAGGTGTCACTGTGTATGGTTCTCCTGTCATCAGTGTATGAATGGGCGTGAATGGGTGAATGATGTCATGTAGCGTTAAAGCGCTTTGAGTGATCGGAGGACTAGAAAAGCGCTATGCAAGTACAGTCCATTTACCATAATACATTTTAGACAACCAGCAGGATTGACATTTCACTGACCATTGATACTACTGGAACACAAGAAAGCTGCCCACAAAACAACGGTACTCTTGTGTTCTTAGCCTTTAATTACAGCAACTTTTCCTATTTCCCTATTTACATTGAAAATCCTTCCACATGACATCCAATGGATCTACTTTGGTTCTCGTTTAAGGATTTGTAATGAAATAGCCCTGCACATCTTATCTCTTTTGACAAGTATACAGTATTGTCTTGGCCGTATTTTCCACCCACCTTACTCTTCTCCTCCTGCTTGGCTGCTTGTCTGCATGGTGGATGCCAGATAGAAGATCCTGAAGACACAGAGACAAAGGCAGAAACTGTCACATTGTTTCCAACCTTCCACACTAGCAACCATAATGTGGGTTGGTTGAACGGTCAAACAAATCAAGCTTGCATGACAAAGCACCAGCTGCTTTGTGTTGAGGCATAGCTGCAGTAAGTAACATTTCAATGAGTGCAGGTAAACTAAACGTTTAGTCTCACAATGGACAGTTATTCACATTACAATACAGTCCTTTGTGTGTCAGGCAGAATTGCAAGGCCCTCCTACTCTGACTTTGGAGTTCCATCTTTAAGATTTTTTTTTTTAGAAAGATCCCCTTTGAAGTTTTTTTTTTTCATTTCTGGGGGAGATTTTCCCGTGCTGATGTGAGGGTTTTGTGACGGAGGATGTTTACAGACTGTACAGAAACTCTGAGTCAAATTAATTGTAATTGGTCATTTTGGGCTATACAAAATAAAATGAATTGAAAACAGATTTTCAAACTACCTTGCAGGTACATTTCTTCTCCCTCTGCAAACATCTGCTCACAGCGGGCGCAGCGGGCACATGTGGGGTGGTAGTGCTTCTCTCCAGCCTGTTAGGTATTAAAAGGGACAAGTTTGGACCACATAACACACTTTGTTGGATATGGTTATTATATTGAAAATGTTTAGGGGGAAATAAAGGAATTGAGTATTGCCCTTTGAATAAAGTTTGGAGGACAAATACGTTGACTATTGAAACAGAAGAGCCCAGATACATATCCTGACGATAAGTCCTACACTTTCCCATAATGCAACTCAATAGCATTTTTATTAAGCGTTCCCTAAATTTGTCATTCCTTTAAAAAGGTGTCTTCTATAGGTGAGGTGTCCATATACAGTGGAGAGTATTCGATACACTGACGATTTTGCACATTTTCACACTTACAAATCATGTAGGAGTCTTTAATTTTTTATCATAGGTACTCTTCAACTGTAAGTGACAGAATCTATAACAAATAGAAAATACCATTGTATGATTTAAAAAATATATATTTTGAAGTTATTGCATGACATAAGTATTTGATGATTTGGAAGAGATTTGTTTGCAATTACAGACGTCATAAGCTTCCTGTAGTTCTTGACCAAGTTTGCAGCACCTGCAGCATGCTTGAGCAGGGGGACCTTGCGTGTGCTGCAGGATTTTGATCCATGTCGGGCGTAGTGTGTTACTAATGGTTTTCTTTGAGAAAACCTGTGGTCCCAGGGCTCTTCAGGGTCATTGACCAGGTCCTGCCGTGTAGTTCTGGGCTGATCCCTCACCTTCCTCACCTGCCTCAGACCAAGGGAGATTGACTGTCACCTTGAACTTATTCCATTTTCTAATAACTGTGCCTTCTCAGCACGCTGCTTGCTTGTTGTCCTGTAGCCCATCCCAGTCTTGTGCAGGTGTACAATTTTATCCCTGATGTCCTTACACCACTCTCTGGCCTTGGCCATTGTCGACAGGTTGGAGTCTGTTTGATTGAGTGTAAATGGCCTGTACAGCGCTTTTCTAGTCTTCTGACCACTCAAAGCGCTTTAACACTACACAACATCATTCACCCATTCACACCCATTCATACACTGATGACAGGAGAACCATACACAGTGACACCTGCCATCAGTAACTACCATTCACACACTGTAGTCGCAGCTACAGGAGCAATGTTGAGTTAAGTGTCTTGCCCAAGGACACAACGACATGCGGGTTAGCCGGGCCTGGGATCGAACCCACAACCCTCTGATTGGAGGACGACCGTGCTCCCCACTCACCCACAGTCGCCCGTGTGTGAACAGGTGTCTTTTATACAGGTAACAAGTTCAGGTGCAGGTGCAGTTAATACAGGTAATGAGTGGAGAACAGGAGGGCTTCCAAAAGACAAACTAACAGGTCTGTGAGATCCGGAATTGTTACTGGTTGGTAGGTGATCAAATACTTATGTCGTGCAATAAAAATAATAAAATATTTTTGAAAAATCATGTAATTTTCTGCATTTTCGTTTTAGATTCCGTCACTCACAGTTGAACCTATGATAAAAATTACAGACTCATAGATGCTTTGTAAGTGGGAAAACCTGCAAAATCAGCAGTGTGTCAAATACATGTTCTCCCCTCTCTATTCCACACAATCATCCACTCATTTACAATTAGCCTCTGGCTGTTTAAGAGTCATGGCGATGTCGGAGTTATCCGGCTAAGGTATAGTCGTGATAGTGAAAACAAACCAATCAAATGAAAAATAAAAAAGAGTCCTGGTCTATTTCACAGCTAAGAGCTCAACACATGTCACTCAGAGTTCATAATGCATACATACAGAGACTTGATCTCTGCAGTTCTTTGTGCACAGTTCGTGTATGTGTCATGGCCAAGACACCTAACCCCAACAAAGCTCCTATAGCTGTGACTAAGGTGTGTGAATGTTACTGATGGTCATAATGGGAATGAATGGGTGAATGATGACATGTGGTGTTAGAGAGATGAGTGTGGTCAAAACACTAGAATACTAGAAAAACAGAAGAGGAAATGTCCATTCCGTTTCTAATTGTAATTCCTTGCCTAATTAGTACTGCTTGATTAAAGTGCTAGTATCTAGATAAGGTGTTTTTTTATGGAACCACTGGGTGGTTACACTGGGAGTAAGGAGTGATAAAGTGCATTCAGTGCAAACGAAAATGTAAAAGTAACATGACTCAGATTTGAGTATGATAGATATACCTGTGACTCATCAATATTCATTAAGGGAAAAAGATAAATCCAATGACTCAGATTTGAGTATGATAGATATACCTGTGACTCATCAATATTCATTAAAAAAAAAAGATAAATCCAAGGACCAGAAATGAAACCACATCATCTCTCTGATGTCCCGCTTCTTTGCTATGAAAACAGGTGGTTAGCACCCTATTTCTTGATCAACAACCTGCTTAATGCTCACCTGGACATAATTAACAAAAACTAAGAAACGTATCACCTACAAGGCCCTAACTGGTAAGGCAAGTTGTATTTAAAGGAGCTTATAGCCCTACCAGTGAGCTGCACTCCATAAATGCTGGGTTACTTGAGGTTCCTAAAGTCTTAAAGGGTAGGGTGGGAGCCAGAGCCTCCAGTTACCAAGCTCGTCTTCAGTTGAACCTTCTATAAGAATTCATGTCCCATTAATGGACACCACTAATTCAGCTTATTTCCCAAAGTTTTTGTGCTTGCCCTCCTCACAGGTTTCTGTGGATGGTGGTTATATCTGATAGTGGTTGGTCCTGCAGTGGTCCTTACTGACAACCACTGGTGCTGTCATTATTTTACTATTGTTATTACTATTGCTGAACAAATACTGCTTCTGTTATAATTGTTATACTATTATATACACTAAATATGTTATTTTTAGTAGTCCTTTTTATCAGTATTCTGTCTTCTTCTGTCAACATATTAATCATTTCTGTCAAATGCTTTAAAAATGCTGTACATCTTGCATTGCATGTACATCATGCTGTGCTCTACACATTTCATCTATCACACTACTGGCCATCCTGTTAAAGTGATCCTCCACTGCCTCACTCTCTAGGGATTCTTCCTTTTGGGGGAGTAGTGGGGGTGCAATCAATCCTGTGGCGATTTCTAGAACAGAAAGCTGTGTGGCTTCTAGCCAGACCTCAGAGTGAAGGACAATGAACAGATGACCTGCCTAAGCGGGAGGATGGTAAACAGGGATAGGTGAAATATGTGTATGTGTGTGTGTGTATGTGTGTGTGTGTGTGTGTGTGTGTGTGTGTGTGTGTGTGTGTGTGTGTGTGTGTGTGTGTGTGTGTGTGTGTTTAAAATAGAGGGAGAGGTCAAAGCCATAAACCAAGAGCAAAAAACTAACTGGTTTATCCCAGTGGACTGACATGCTACAGAGGGACCAATGCATTTTTTACTGATGATGTCATTGACATGTAAAATCAGTCAAAGGCTCCATTATTGCACATTCATAGACATATTCTCATGTTTTACGTTTGGAATATTGCAAAGCAGTATTGCTAGTACGTATTTGTCTTTCAACCAATGTTGATTGGTAAATGGACACCACATTCTTAATGCCATCAAAAGAGAAGGATGCCAATTTTCACCTGGGTTATTCATCTTTTTTTATCAGTGTATTCTTTTCAATTCATCTATTCATTATTCCATCTTCATTTTATCTTTTCACCTCTTTCTTTTTTTACACACTAACTTCTTATATCCATCTAGAGAGATTGTTTCAGGGACAAAGTAGCCATTAGTTTACTAACTAAATGCCGACAGAGTATTTCTACTGGGCTGTTACCTCCAGGACTTTTCCAGTGATATACTTCTTGCAGCTCTCACACATGATCCCAAACATGGCGTGGTAGTCCATCTCACAGAAGGGGATTCCATCCCTGATGGTAAACACAGATCCCCACATGAAATAAACAAAACAGTAAAAACATAATTTAAAATGACCTCTTAGCTGTGAAGAAATCACAAAAATCTCCCTCTCTGCCTCCTCTATAACTTCTCCATACCCCCCCGCCCCAACACCTCCCAAATCTCAGCCTGCTCCTTCCCCTCTCTCCGCTCAGTCTCCTTCACCACCCACACCCCCCGTCCTTCTTCCTCCATCCCCCCACCCCTCCTCCCCTCTTCCCCAATCTCTACCTTCTACATCCCCCCTCCTCTCTGCCTCCCCACCCACCCTCATCCCTCCATCCTTTCTACCCCCCTCTCCCTCCTCTCTACCTCCTCCATCCCCACCCCTCTTTTCTGCTTCCTCCAATATCAGCTTAACGTGCAGGATCACGTTGCATACAGCAGCCAGGCTGACTTACTTGCTGATGTACTCGGCATTGAGCACCTTGTTGCAGACTTTACACTTGAAGCAGCCCAGGTGCCAGTGCTTTTCCAGAGCTACAAGAGACTGTTCATTCTTAAACTCCTTCCCACAGCCGCAGCAGTCTGCAGGGAAATTATATTAGTTTAGTTGAGAACTGTTGAAAATGAAGAAATTAAGGTAATGTTAACTTTTTCTGCAGTGTTTCTGTTGGACCAAATTGGACATTTTGGTGTTTCAAGACTGGAATTACTTTATATAATCCAAGTTTAGGCACAATTTATGTTTTAGATTGACAAATGGAGAGACAGACATAAACAAAGTACTGACTGTGGACCGCCTGTATGGGTGCAGGGCTGCTGGCAGCGAGAGGCTGGGTACACTTTTGGCAGATACACTCTTTTCCATTAAATGTCACTCGGTCGCCGGCTGGGAACGGCTGTCTGGAAACAGAAAACACAGTGAGAACATGTGTCCTAGCAGTCACGTATTTTAATGTCACGCTTATGTCACGGTTTGGGTTTGTTTCCTGTTTTATTTTGTAGTTTTCTGCCTCTTGTGTCCCTGGATTAGCTTCACTTCCTGCCTTGGCCTGTCATCCCCTGTGATTGTCTGCCGTGTCCCAGATTGTTTCCACCTATGTCCAATCACCTGCACCTCCCCAGTGTATTTAAGCCCTGTGTGTCGTTTGTCCCTTGTCACGTCATTGTATGTTCTGTGTTAATGTTGTTCCAGCTCCCTGTCAGCATTTATTAAAGTGACAGCCTATTGACATGGATTTTTTTTAAATCAGTATTTTTTCTGCATTTATCAGTGTTTTCATTTCTTTTCATGGAGTTAATGTGGATTCATTTTATGTGTCAAATCCCTATTGTCAAGGTTTGTTTACCTTCGATCTAGCATCGCCATTGTTCTTTTCTTGTTTTTTCTTTGGAACTACACACAGAAAAAAAAGGTGCCAACTGGAACCAAAGATGCAGTAGGGCCGAGTGCAAAAAGTGGTCGGTGGAAGGTTCCTTTGTCAGAACGGCATAAGCCGATCTCAGTTAGGTATTTAGCGACATGCAAATTCCATGTAACGTAAAATGAGTATGAGTATGAGTATGTTTTAATGCGAGGCTTTAGAAATGAACACAAAGGGATTCTGTATTTGCTGTGTTGAAGTCTGAAATGGGTAATTTGGCCAATGTTTTGATAACCGACCGAAGCCAGCGGACAGAGAGCACTGCAGTGTATTGTGAATCAGCAGATGCAAGCAGACAGACAGAAACACAGCTGGATTACTTTTGATGAATTATTTAAGATCAACAATGTTACCATTAGAAACACACACAGCTAAGGGCAGCATTTGCCGTTTTTCTGCCAGACATATTTTTATATTCCACACAATAAGCCTGTGTGCCACCACAAAGGAGATATTTGTTAAAAGAGAGCACAGAACTTTAATGATCACAGTGCAAGCCTCAAAAACCATATCGAACCATGCTGATCTCAGTTCAGTTTGGAGATCGCCGAGATATGAAAGTACATGCACACACAGATGCATACAGAAAAAAACAGCCCCCTATTTGAAAGTAACTTTACTCTATACAGGAATGGCCCCCACTGACTACAAGGAAAGAATTCCTCCCTAAGAGAAGCTCCCAAGACCTTTCACATGAGAGATAATAATGTTCATCACACACATACACAAATACGCACACATAAACACACACATTGCATTGTTAATATAAGCATGTACATAGCCCCTGACTTGCATTATCTTCATGTGTTTTTTATATCTTGACATGTATGTATATCAAAGTGTTAATGTGCTGTAAAGGATGATGTCAGAGAGAGATTTTCTAATTTCAAAAATTGAATTATTGGGTATTACAAAGAAAGGTAAGGCACCAGTTGATAATGACACACACAACACATTTTTTATCAAGTTACGACAGTTCAATTATGTCACATTTAATCGAGGGATTTAATTAAACTTTAAGTCCTGAATCTGGTCCTGTAGGCCTGCCGATGGCTGCTCACTGTCGGTAATACACTAACAATGGATGAGTGCTTCAAAAGCACACTTCCAAACATCACCTCCTGGACCATTTAGTAGCTGTTCTGGAGGTCATCACATTCTATCATTACATTTAGGTGATGGACTTTCCTCAGTCATCTTGGAATAACACAAAGTTCAATGACACACCTCACTGTGTCAACGCTCACACTAAAAGGCAGTGTGGGGTTAGCTTCTTTTTTTGACTTTCTTTTTGACACCAACAGCTGACATACCCTGTTCGGGTAGAGCGTAGTGTGTACCGTTTTTGGGCTGTACTTCCCACATCACAGTTTCTTACTTGCAGTAGGCGCAGACAAAGCAGCCGGGGTGATAGGTCTTTCCCAGGGCGGACACCACCTCCCCTTCAATGAAGTCCTGGCAGCTGAAGCAGCGAGTCCCATACAATTGCTGGTAGTCCCCAGTACAGATGTATTCTCCCTGACGCACGAAGAATCCCCCCTGGGCCAATTCACAACCACATACTGTAAATAAGAGAAGGTAAATAAAAGAGGGAGGGGGGAAAGTTTAAGGGGTATGGAGAAGAAAGAGAAAGAAACAGAAAGAAAAGAAAGTTAGAAAAGGAAGGGATTAACAAGAAGTTTTATGATAATTTGTTCCTAAATATCCTATATATGTCGTTTTAAAATGTATATTATTGGTCCATTATTTGCTCAATGCACCATTGTGCCTGTCAAGATGTTCACATAACTTCCTGTTTTATTTTGTACACCACAGATTCACACCTCTCATCTCCCTTTACTTCCTGTCTTTGTTTACAAGTCCCCCTGTTTTTCCCCACCCCGGCTGCTCACCCACTCATCGCCTGACATGGAGCCCATAGCAACCACATGACATAAGAGACCAGGCACACCCTCAGAGGAAATCTCACTCTGTTTTCACACTACTTGAGTAAAAACATCACCACTCCTTTCTTTTCCCTCCATTCTTTCTTTTGGAAAAAAAGAGCAAAGGTAAATGGGAGATGTTTGCTTAAGCTGCTGCTCCATGACAGCTCAGTGAACTTGCACATGCACGCGCACAAACATGATCTCAAACCTGCAGGGGTGTGTGAAGGTATGTTTGTAGCCTGTTGTTGAGATCACACAAACATAACATTTTCTGATCATCATGTTCTTAGTGCAAGCATTCATTATTATTTCATTTTATTTCAAGCAAGTTCAAGATACTTTTGATTTCTCACAAGGGCTAAATCCACAAATTTCCACCACAATGGCAAATAGCTAAAACAATTAATCAAAAAACCTCCAACCACTTGCACCCCAGCCAGCTTTGTGCCTGTGAAACCAGTTACATTGTCACGGTGTGGTTTATTTCCTGTCTTATTTTGTAGTTTCTGCTTGTTGTCTCCCTGGGTAATTTCACTTCCTGCCTTATCCTGTCATCCCTTGTGATTGTCTGATCGTTTCCATCTGTGTCCAATCACCTGCACCTCCCTAGTGTATTTAAGCCATGTGTCTCTTGTGTCACTTGTCACGTCATTGTTGAACGTCCTGGATGTGTCTAGCTTGTGCTTGCCTTTTTTGCCCTGGTTCGTGTGTGTTTTTGCCCCTTGGCAAAAACCTTTTTCGGCGGCCCAACTCCAGGCCACCTACTCCCTTCACACTGGGCCGCAACAACCTCCCAACCCCCGCGCTGGGCCGCAACGACCTCCCAACCCCCGCGCTGGGCCGCAACGACCTCCCAACCCCGCTCAGCCGCAGCGCACAGACTTCCGCGCTGGGCCGCAGCGATCCCTCGACCCCGCTGGGCCCCAGCGGCCTCCTGATGTGGCCCAAAGACTCCAGGCCCCTACCCCGGTTCCGACCCCGAGACTCCAGGCCCCGACCCTGGTTCCATCCCCGAGAATCTAGGCCCCGGCCCCGCCAGTACCGGCCCCTCGACCCTCAGCCCCAGCCCCGCCAGTGCCGGCCCCGCGACTCGCAGCCCCGACCCCGCCAGTGCCGGCCCCGCGACTCGCAGCCCCGACCCCGCCAGTGGCGACCCTGCGACTCGCAGCCCCGACCCGACCAGTGCCGACCCCGAGACTCGCAGCCCCAACCCGACCAGTGCCGGCCTCGAGACACGCTGCCCCAACCAAACCAAAGCCGGACCCGAGACTCGCGACCCCGACGCCTCCAGTGCCGGCCCCGAGACTCCTGACCCCGACGCCGGAGACGTCCCGTGTCCCCGAGCCGGCTATTCCAGTGCCCTTTAGTCGGCTTCTGACCGTCCGCCTGGCCGACCCCCGGAAGCTCGCCGGCCAACTGACCGCCCGCCGGGCCGACCCCCGGAAGCTTCCCGGTCGTCTGCCCGCCCGCCACAGTTTCCCGTGCGGTCCGACCAACGTCTCTGGATTCCCTCCCTCCCGCCCCTTGTCCGCTCTCTGCCAGTTTGAGCCGTCTGGAATTCGGCCCTTGAGGGGAGGGTACTGTCACGGTGTGGTTTATTTCCTGTCTTATTTTGTAGTTTCTGGCTCTCTGGCCAAATGAGCGTCCGCCGGGCCGACCCCCTGAGGCTCCCCGGCCGTTTTCCTGTCCGCCGGCCCGACCCCCGGAGGCTCTCCGGCCAAATGACCGTCCGCCGGGCCGACCCCCTGAGGCTCAACGGCCGTTTGCCTGTCCGCCGGGCCGACCCCCTGAGGCTCCCCGGTCGCCTGGCCGCCTGCCCTTTTGATTCTCAAGAAACTCTGCTTTAGAGTCCTGCCTTTTTTCCCCACGCAACTCCCATGGCAGAATGACGCGACCATTCAAGGACTCAGCAGAGTTTTTTCCCCAGAGCCAGTTCTGGGGAACCCGTCTTGCCCTGGGCGGGCTACGTAGCCTTCAGCTGGCTGCCTGTGTCGGAGAGAACACCTGCCCTCGATAGCCAGCTGGGTTCCTCTCCTAGAGTCCCCAAGAGGCGTTCGGGTCGCCGCCGCCCTCTGGTCACCACTTTGCCTCCAGAGATGGAGGCCGTCTCCTGGTCTCTAGTGCTTGAATTGGCGGCCCAACTCCAGGCCACCTACTCCCTCCACACTGGGCCGCAACGACCTACCAACCCCCGCGCTGGGCCGCAACGACCTCCCAACCCCACTCGGCCGCAGCGCACAGACTTCTGCGCTGGGCCGCAGCGATCCCTCAACCCCGTTTGAGTCCTGCCTTTTTTCCCCACGCAACTCCCATGACATGCATATGGAAAAGAATACAAACAGTAGTTGCTGAAGCTACTATAGGTCATGTTAGCATGTGAATAGATATACAATATTGTTGTTTTCGCTAACTACTTCCGCTAACTACTTCGCTTCTTGGAGGACACCATTGATGGGAAAAACATTATAGAGCGAGTTGAAAAGAATATTGTGATCTAGTTAACTCATCTCCACTGCTCTAATCCGTAAACCTCTTCTTAAATGTAATTACAAGGATATCAGCTGCCAATGACTGCAGGCCCACGGTTTTGTGTTGTGTTGGGTGACATGAGAAACTTTTCTAACTTTACTCCATATTACAAAGTGAAAGAAGGACCATGATCAGATTGGTTTGGGAATTAAATAACTACAGGGGATATTACTAGCTACATGATAAATGAGTCAACATTGACTTCTGGTGTCACATGGGCCTAGAATCATCAGTTTCCTGGATGAAAGTTTGATGTTTATTATTACATTATTATTATTTCAGGTCATTTAGCTGACACTTTTATCCAAAGCATTACATTGCATTTATAACCCATTGGATTTTATCCGGGGAGCAATTAGGGGTTAGGTGTCTTGCTCAGGGACACTTCGACATGGGACATGGAAAGCCAAACTTTAAGCGACACATTGGGCAAACTGTGTCCAGTATTTGCACCATTTTGATATCAAGCCCTAAAAGGAGTCACGGCATGCTAGTAAAACAACCACAACAATACAAGCAGGAATGTTTTCACAGGAAGTGGACGACATACTTTCCAGCGGGTGCTACTGGCTCCCTCATATCCGGTTTAGATGTCTGGCAACCTGTCTACAATGAGATAATGCTTGGGCTGATCGGGTAAACAGCTGCAAAGTGGAAAGTTGGATGGATAAGTGACATGTAGAATTTTAGGGGCTCTTTGGTCACTCTCTGACAAAAAGGTTGAATTCAATTTTTGAATTTGAAAGCACTCTTTAATAAGACCCTTCTTAACAAGAACGCATTGTCTAGTCATTTGTAGAACTTTTCTAAACAAACACACAATGATGATAAGCAACTTACTTAACCGTGTTACCTACTTAATCAGACTTGCTACCTACTTAATCAGACTTGTTACCTACTTTCTTACTTAGACTTGTTAGCTACTTAATTGGACTTGTTACCTACAACTTGGGGCTCAGTATCTTGCACAACATATGACATGTGAGCTGATGAAGTGGATGACCTGCACCTAAAGAATTAAAAACAGCTCTGCTACATAGAGGGATAAATAGATGGCTGGAGACAGAGTTCTGCCGTCGGAGTGCATGGTACTCTCAGCTCCTCTTTCAATTATTCTATATTTATACCTGCGCTGCCAGTTGGCACATACTGTACTCTTTTGCTTACTGTAGTATAACTTAGTTGCAGCAGCTCAGCAGCTCAGCAGCTCAGCCCATTTGAGACCAAGTACAAGCCCATTCATAATATACTACATAGGGCTAACACTAGCAGAAAGTAAAACATCCTTCTAAAAGCGAAGCAAACCAAACCATGATAACAGCATTGGTGCATATACTACAGGGGAAGGCAAGGTTACTGGCATCAAAAAGGTCTGCGTGCATTACATATGTGAGAGAGAGACAGAAGACCTTTCAAACTGTGGGTGTGTGTTCGTAGAAAGTGTGTGATCAAATGTTTTAGTGATTTATATTTAGTTTAACCCAGAAGGCCAGAGATGGAACTTCACAACTAGGAGTACCTTTACCTTTAATTTACCTTTAACAATTAAAGCATCACTTCAGCTGTCAAACAGAAGAGGGATGAGTGTCAAACTGACCACTTTAGGCACTAATAGTGCCCGTAATATGTTGGTAGCTGCTAGGCTACTTTCATCTTAACATCTACCCTGGACGGCTCGCAGTCTGCAAAGGACCATCTGTTGACCACTGTTGCCCTGTTACCCATTATTTCGAAGTTGTTAGAACCTAAAACACCCTAAACAACAGTGGTTTGGAAAACGTACTGGTTAAATGTCAAATGATCGAGATTTGAGAGCACAGCAAACTGCAAGAGGACAACAGGAAGAGTCACTAGTTCAAGATGTTGCCATCCGGTGGAATTCTGCATTGGAGATGAACAAATGTGTGTAGTTAAAAAATACAATTAATGTCTAAAATATACGTTGGCTGAAGTGTTAATTCACTCATTTATAAGATTTAGTCTTCATAAGATTTTTTTTTTTATTGTGATTAATCTAAAACATCTTAAAATGTAAGATTAATTTGTTGATTTTTTGACAGTCCTAGTAAAAAGGTTACACTGCAGACGAGGCTTGATATCAACAC